AAGCAGTCTCCAAGACAATGGTACAAGCGATTTGATAGATTTATGATCGGGCAAAAGTACACAAGAAGTCACTATGACCATTGTGTATACTTTCGCAAACTACAAGATGGAACCTTCATTTATCTGCTTTTATATGTTGATGATATGCTTATAGCATGTAAGAGCAAAGTGGAGATTACAAGGTTGAAGACTCAACTAAGTAATGAATTTGAGATGAAGGACTTGGGAGAAGCTCGGAAGATACTAGGTATGGAAATTGAAAGAGATAGAGCGAAGGGCAAGATTAGTCTGTGTCAGAAGCAGTATTTGAAGAAGGTACTACAACGTTTCAGGATGAATGAAAATTCAAAACCGGTTAGTACACCTCTTGCCTCTCATTTCAAACTTAGCGCTTCTATGTCTCCTAAAACTGTTGAAGAGAGTCAGTACATGGCTCAAATTCCTTATGCAAATGTTGTTGGTAGTTTGATGTATGCTATGGTGTGTACTAGGCCTGATATTTCACAAGCTGTTAGCATTGTTAGTAGATATATGCATAATCCAGGAAAAGGGCATTGGCAAGCTGTGAAATGGATTCTACGGTATATTCTGGGTACTGTGGATGTTGGTTTATTGTTCCAGCAGGATAAAGTTACTGGTAAATGTGTTGTTGAATATGTGGATTCTGATTACGCAGGTGATTTGGACAAGCGTAGGTCCACTACTGGTTTTGTATTCTCTATTGCTGGAGGTCCAGTAAGTTGGAGGTCGATTCTGCAATCTACAGTTGCTTTGTCGACTACTGAGGCAGAATACATGGCTGTGACAGAAGCTATAAAGGAAGCCATCTGGCTTCAAGGGTTGCTTGATGACTTAGGGGTTCAACAAGACCATGTGGATGTTCATTGCGACAGTCAGAGTGCTATTCATTTAGCAAAGAATCAAGTTCATCATGCACGTACGAAACACATTGACGTGAGGTTCCATTTTGTTCGTGAGGTTATTGACGAGGGAGATATTCTTCTTCAGAAGATTGGGACCGCTGACAATCCTGCGATATGTTAACAAAGCCAGTTTCGTTGCACAAGTTTAAGCACTGCTTAGACTTGATTGGCATTTGTAAAATTTGTTGATTGCCCCATGGGGGATTGGGAGACGACTATTTGGAGTTCTACTTAGAGGGTTTGAGTCAAGGTGGAGATTGTTGATTATTGACTCAAACATGTAGTCAAAGTCCAAATCTTTGGGCTACTTTTGTGGTCAAAATTGTTGGATGGCATGCTACATGTGGGAAACCAAAATTGGATGCACTTATGCCTAATTCTTTTTGACTTGATGTTAGGCCTTTGGCCATTGATGTCTTTGAGAAGCTTTTCTTTGGCTATAAAAGGAGAGCAAGGTGTAGCTCATAAGCATGGAGAAGTAGAGAAGAACAAGGCAGAGAGAAAAATAGCAAGAAGCCATTTGGCATAGAGAAGAATTTTCTCAAATTGTCTTGCTTTGTATTTTTGGTTTTCTCTTCCTATTGTAAGTGTGAGAGCTTGGGGTTATTTGGGTCTTTGGGAAATTGAGTGATAAACACTATTGTATGTTCTCATTGATTATAGTGGAATACTCCGTCGTCTCCAAACTGGATGTAGGCATTGCCGAACCAGTATAAATCTTGGTGTTCTTGTTGGTGTTGGTTTTATTCTGTTCTGTTTTACTATTCACTTACAGTCGAATGCCGCTTCCGCACAACAAACATATCATAAGAAAGCACATATGCTAAAGGGTAAGGACTACCTGGTGTGTGGATTGCTGCCAAGGTAGATGACTTGTGGGAGCGTGAAGGAAGGGGGACTCCAACTTGGTAATCTTGTAGATGGCGAGGTGGCTCTCTGTGTTGCGTAAGGCAAGGTGGAGCTGCTTTGAGTACTGTATCAGGTGCACCAAATGATGCAGCCGGCATAAAAGGTATGGCTAGGGCAAACGGTGCTAGAGTAGAGTTATCATCGGGCACTGCTGGTACGTTGGTAGTTGTAGGTAGAATAGGACATACAACATCATCAAAATAGGTAGGGAAATCAGATGGTGGAATGGCGTCAGATTGTGGTTTATATAAAGAGTATGGAAATATGTGCTCATGGAACAAAACATCTCTAGAAACAAAAACTTTTACAGTATGAAGATTGTAGAGATGGTATCCTTTTTGTCCATAAGGATAACCCAGAAAAATGAATTGTGTGGCTCGTGCATCAAATTTGGTGGGTCTTTTGGGTAGAGGAAAAACTTAGGCAGCCAAAGACCTTCAAGTGGTGATATGTGGGTTGTTTTTGGTGGAAAACTTCGTAAGGTGTTTTGCCGTGAAGGAGTGGTGTGGGTGTTCTATTGATAAGGTAAGTGGCTGTTAAAATGGCGTCCCCCCAAAATTGTTTAGGGAGTTTTGCTGGGAAAAGAAGTGCACGGGCGGTGTTGAGAAGGTGACAGTGCTTTCTTTCGACCACCTCATTTTCTTAAGGGGTATTGACACAACTGGTATGATGTATAATTCCTTTGTCAAAGTAATATTTGGCCATGGTGAATTTGGGACCATTGTCACTACGGATACTTTTTATTTTGGTAGAAAATTGGGTTTCTAGAAGATTGATAAAGGTTGTTAAAAAATGAGATGTGTCAGATTTGTGGTGCATTAAGTAAACCCAAGTGCATCGTGTGAAGTCATCAACGATGGTTAAGAAATAACGACTGCCATTGTATGTAGCTACGTGATAGCCACCCCAAATATCAACATGAATAAGTTCAAAAGGTGTTTTGGAGCTAATGGAACTTGTGGAAAAAGGAGAACGAGTATGTTTAGCCAAAAGACAAATGGAACAATCATTAATCTCACAAAAATCGACGTCTTTAACAGAATGATATAGCAAACAAAAAACTTTATTTGAAATGTGCCTAAGGCGTTGATGCCAAAGGCGTGAAGATGGTGTAACCAATGCCCCCAACAAACGTGCATGCTGCCTTATCATCTTGGATGGTGAGATAATAGAGTCCTCCTTGTTCAGTTCCCATCCCAATCATCATCCCCAAGTGTAGGCCTTGCAACAATAGGTCTTTAGCAAAGGCTGCAATATAATCTGAATGCTTAACAAGCTTGCTGACGACGATCAGGTTTAATTGGAACGAGGGAACACATAGCACATTATGTAATATCAAATTAGGAGGATAGAAGCGAATGTTCCCTATGTGTGTCACAGCAGCAGCCATACCGTTGGAAAGGTTCACGGTCCGGTTTTGCACTAGTAGGCAAGTGGTGAACAAATTCGGGGAGCATACTATGTGATCCATTGCCCCTGAATCCAAAATCTGAGCCCTGTTTTTCCAAAAAGCAATACCTCGAAGTGATTTACCTGATAAGTTGTTGATACTGGAAGCGTCACCTACAAGGTTGGCCATGGTTGGTGATTTGTTGTTGCCTAGCAACACCAAGAGATTTTGGTATTGCTCGATGCTCAGGTTGACGGGACTAGATTGTGAGGATGATGCTTCCTTGGCCTGGACATGATATGTCTTAGATGTACACCGATCTTGTGCATCGCTCTTCTCCTTGGCCTTCTTGAGTTTCCGACAAGCATCAATTGCATGTCCCTTCCAACCATAAAAGTCACACTTAAGATGTGATCGACAAGTGTCCAAAGTGTGCCCGACCATATCGCATCGGTCACATTTTAGATGAGGGTTCCGTGGTGTGGAGCCTCTCCTGGAGTTACGGTCGCTGTCTCGAACTGCGAAGGCTACAGTATCAGGTGTGGCTGTTGTGGTAGAGGAGACGCTACGTTGCTTCTCATCTTGTAGAATGAGCGAGTGCGCCTTGTTAACTGAAGGTAGATGGTCTATAAGTAGAATTTGACCATGAGCAGTAGCATATGATGTATCAAGTCCCATGAGGAATTTCATAGTCTTTTGGTTCTCACTATATTGCATGACTTCCTTCATAGTTCCACACTCAAAGATAGGAATGGTGCACAGTGCATCACGCTCATCCCAAAGGGCCTTGAGTTTGGTGTAGTAAGCACTTATGGTCATGCTTGATTGAGTACAATCATGAATCACCTACTCTATGTGAAAGAGATGAATATTGTTGGCATGAGAATAACAATCTTTCAAGTCATTCCAGATTTCAGCAGCCACTTCATTGTAGATAACACTTGCTCGAATGTCCTTTGAGATTGAATATATCAACCACGATTTTATGAGGTTATTACAGTGGTTCCATTGCTGCAATTCAGAGGTTGAGGATTTTTTTGGTCTGCTAATAGAACCATCGATAAAGCCTTCCTTATTCTTGGCGCTTAAAGCCATGGTCATGGCACGACTCCAAGTTCCATAATTTTCTTCATTTAGCGGCTGCGGGACGAGGATGGCACCGGGATGTGTTGGATTTATCCAATATAAATCAACCTTTAAGTGGTCTACTACATGTAATAGGAATGTAATATTGGAGAATAATGTTAATTGTGATTTGATCTCTTAAAGATATCAATCCTATATAAGGTGTCTTATATTGGAAATAGGATTGATAGAATCCTTAATTGAATATGATTATGATACTTGACTTGGAGGCTAATAAAGTAAGTTTAGGTTTCCTTTATGGATGGAAACCCTAGCTTTTAGCCTATATAAAAACACTGGTCCCTATAAGCCCTAGAACACAAAACATAATGCTTCCCATAGAGTAGTTGTATTCGGCTAGGAACTTATAGAAGATCTTGGTGTTGCCATGCCCATTTCCTTTCGTGTTCGACTTCCATGGCTGCCGTTGGAATCAGGTTAGTCACTCGTTCGTTTGTGTTTTAATTGTATAACCTAATAAGGCTAACAGGATGATCTGAATGGTGCAGGTACATCGGATGATTTGGATCATCGCATGGGTTTGCCTCAAGCTTGGTTGAGGGCTTTTCGGTTTTGGTAGGTTCAGCCATGGGAACAGGCTAGTGTTTTGAGCGGAAGGTTGATGTAGGTCACCAGGAGCGTTGCTGCTCGGATGCCATGTAAAAACTGAATGTCATATATTGTAATGTATTGGTACAAGAGATTATATACAACACGGGGATCAATTTAGATCCTACAAATCAGCCTATACAAGATATTATTTCACCAACACTCCTACGATCAAGGAAAGGGATTAAATATACAAAGTGACCATTCCAAATCATTCCTTTTTCTCAACATTTTGAGCTCAACACTTTGTTTAGTGACGTGCAGCCATGTGCTTGAAGCCAACGTACGCCTGGGAGCTGTGGCAAAGATTCAAGGCTCCTACAATTGGTTAACCACAGACAAATCAGCCGAGAAGCTTCTTTGATGCTTGCAGGTAGGCACTTGATCGCAGTTCCACTCGGATCAAGTTTCTCAAGAGATTTCAATTTACCAATGCTTGCAGGTAGGTTTTTAATAGTGGTTCCCCTCAGATCAAGTTTCTCAAGATATTTCAAATTACCAATTGTAGAGTCCCACATTGCCCAAGGGAGAGGACCACCTGTGCCTTATATGTACATGCCCACCTTCCTATAGTGAGACGCGTTTTGGGCTTCGTGGAAGCCCAAGAACAAATCCGTGAGACTGCGAAGCGGACAATATCTCACTATGCGGACTGGATCGGGATGTGACACCAATGCTTGCAGGTAGGCTGCTTTCAATTTCAGTTCCACTCATATCAGATCTGACTGACCTCCTGTTAAACATGAGATCTACTAAATGCGGAAATGTTTCGTGTGCTTCTACGTAGCTCCCTCACCCGTTTCATCCTTGATGCCAATATCCAATCAACTGGGGCGTACATTGGGAAGATCCCACACTTTTTCACCTTAATCATGGAATAATCAACGACTCCGCCATCAGGACAATCATCTATTATTGGGTAGAAGTCAAATATGGCCTCAGTGACGCCATTATAGCTTCCTTGCTTTAAATGGTCAAAGGTACTAAACCAGACGCACACGTGCGGCGTTTCAAACTTGCACTCATTGATTTCTCCATATTCGGCAACCATGCAACTCCGATGATAGATACAATGATCTCCATAGCCTTTGAAATTGATTTTACATCCAAGCCTCAAACTCCCTCCAACATTATAATTCTTGAATGCAATAACAACCGAATAAGCGAAACCCAAAAAATTAGTGTTAAAGAAGTCTGGACCAAGTTTGATCCGTAGTACAGATGTATCACTTTTACTTGGCAACCATCTTGGAATTATATTTCCAGGACATACAACGCAGACTGGAGATCTAAAAACATATTCCTGTTCATCAATAAATGTGTTAGAGAGCAAAGAAACCGAGTTATTCAATTTAACAACAGAGAGAGAGAGAGAGAGACAGGGAGACGTACTTTACTTTCTTCTTCAAATTCAAGATGAGATGCTACTTCGATATCTTCTTGTTTAAAGTGCTTCGACAATGCAGTTGCCATTCGCATAAATCTAATCTGCGAATCAGTAAATATATCATGCCAAGCACCCGATCCCATTCCTATGCAATTTGAAAATGTAAGTTGCTCTTGAAGTCCTTGAGAATTTTTATATTCATCCCAACCTAATGTAAGTGCAGTCTTTGAGCTCAACACTTGCTTGAGTGATGTGCATCCATGTGCTTGAAGCCAACGTACCCCTGGAAGCTTTGGTAAAGATTCAAGGCTCTTGCAATTGGTTAACTGCAGACTAATCAGCCGAGAAGCTTCTTTGATGCTTGCAGGTAGGCACTTGATCACAGTTCCACTCAGATCAAGTTTCTCAAGAGATTTCAAATTACCAATGCTTTCAGGTAGGCTTTCAATTGCGGTTCCACTCAGATTTATATGCTCAATGTTTGGACTTTGGGAGAGATCTGGAACTTTCATCAGATTTTTTGACAAACCAAGATCCATCACTCTTAATTTCATAAGATTCTGCAACAAATAACCAATAAATTGCAAGAATTAACAACTTAGCCTGATCAAAGTAACTTTCTACACAACATTAATGTAAGAAGTTAAATGACATAGACATACCTGGCCTTCATTCCAAAGTTGCTCAACTTGGCTGTTCCGCATTTGAAGCTCAACAAGATTTTCCGGACAAAGTTTTAATGGCAAAGATTTGAAAGGGTATCCCTCCCAGTCAAGATAAGTAAGAGAACGGGGAAGAGAAACTTTTACTTCGCAGTACTTGTTACGGCTAGAATTATAAACGTATAGCAACCTTAGATCATACATCTTTTCGAAGTCTACATGATTCAAGAGTATCCCTTTAATCGCAGACCTGTTAAAGAAAATGGCTTGTAGCGTTGCACTTTCCTGAGAATAAAGAACAGAGTATAAATGTGAATACAATTCAATATACAAAAAATTTAAATGGAAGTGAATGCATTCCGCGATCTTACCGTATTAGTTTTCAATTCCCGATTGAAATCCTCATCAACAAATAACCTATGGCATTTTTCGGGCTCTTCAATACATTGTTCGCAAACAATTGCCCTACCCATTTCTTGTAACAAATTATGCATCTGCAGGCTGTTATTTGTTGAAATTGATATGAGAGACTTATCAATCAGAGCTCCAATTACCGATGCACGAAAACCACATATATCTAGCATTTCTTTTACAATGTACACATCTTTCCCTTGATAAAAACATGCTATATCAAGAAATATCTCCTTCTCAATTTCGTTTATTCCATCATAACTTGATCTCAACACTTTCCAGATCTTTTCTCTTGGAAATTCTTTCCATTCATCCAGCCAATCTTCTTTGATCTCACATTGAAGGAATGAGGAACCCAAAATTTGAAGAGCTAATGGAATCCCTCCACAATAATCTACCACAAGTTTTGACAACTCTGCACAATCGACTCTAGAAATGTTATTTCCAAAGGCACTCAAATGAAAGAGTTGCAAAGCTTCATCAGAATTTAATTCCTGAACCTCGTATATCTTATTATGCTCTACACTTTTCTGAAGTAGGCTCTTGTCTCTAGTTGTTATAATTATTCTACTTCCGGGCCCAAACAGAGCAGGATCTCCAGCTAGAAAATTTAATTGCTTTGAATCACTTATATCATCAAGAACAAAGAGGACCTTCGTACCTCCCATCCTCTTTCTAACAAGATCTGATCCTATAGTTGGAGTGCCGATGTTTAGATCATTTTCCTTTAATATCTCACTAAGAAGTGTGTTTCGCAGGTGAACTAGTCCATCTTTCGCCGATTTCTCCCTCACATTTCCAAGAAAACAACAAGCTTCAAATTTAGAAGAGAGTCGATGAAACACAGCATCAGCAAGGGTGGTCTTGCCAATGCCACCCATTCCCCAAATACCTACAGTGTATACATCAAGTGAATCAATGCATAATGATGACTCAATTTCATGAATGCGTCTTTCCATTCCAACAAGGCCCTTTAAAACACTTGACGATTTAGTATTCAACTGGCTCCAAATTTCGTTTACAACTTCCATAACTAGATCGGCCTCCGTCCTGGCAAATATATGATGGACAACTAATAGTTAGTAACAGGCATTCGTGAATTAATCCTGTATGCGTTAAATTTTCATGAGTAGAAATCAGTACAAGTTATAGAATATTTTTTATTTTTTTATGAACAAACACTACAAGTTATAGAGTTAGTTACCCAGTTTCGTATGAGAAGCCAGATAGATTAGCTGCAGTCGTCAAAGCAGCCCTCCACATGTTCACCTTGCCAATAGCGCCCTTGAAACGTTTTTCATGTTGAGCAAATGCAACTTCATAACTCCCCTTTTGTTTTCGTACCGTTGATGGACCGGTGCCGTAAAAAATGTGAATAACCAACTGGCCATATTTTTCCCTGCAGTGTAGTATATGTGCAAGTTCATCCAAACACCAGGTGGAAGATGCATAGTTTTGTGAGAAAATGACCAACGAAAGCGTAGATTTCTCGATTGCTTCTAGAAGGGCAGGTGCAATTTCACCCCCCCCCCCTCACAAGTCTGTAATCGATGTAGGTTTCAATTTTCTTCCGGAGTAAGGCACCATGGAGATGGCTAGTAAAAGTATTGCTGGTGTCCTCACCTCTGAAACTAATAAACACATCATACTTTCCTCGAGGGGCTGGGATATCATCATCATCATACTTTTCTCGAGGGGCAGGGATATCATCATCATCATCGCCCGAAGAAGAAGAAAAAGTAGTAGAAAAAGGCCAACAAGAAAATGTTAATGATCTGAAGCACGTGTACAACAGAGTACTGATGGAAGTGACGACGATAAGAACTTGAAAGAACCCAATGAACTCCATCTCTCTTTTCTTTATAACAAGCGAGTAAGATGAATGACACCAATTGGATTGCACCAGATATGTACAAATAAAAATTAAAGTAGGAAGGAAATTACCCAAACACTTCGTGGAATGCACTTTGAAGCATTCAAACTAAAGACTTTTGCCACAGGGTGGGTGGCTGCAGTTGACCATATCACGCGGCCCGTGTCGTGTTTTACGACTGATGCTGAAAAGAGTCGTGACATGTTGCGAAACTCCCGATGCGCACTTGAGAACGACGTTGCAGAAAGGGCACCCGGCAAGCTCCATCACCATCATTACAAACAATAGATTTATAAAGTTATACATATAGATTTTCACTCTAAATCAGTAAATTCTAACATAATGTATAAGCACTAATTAGTCACGTATTTGACTTCTCTCCACAAATTTGCGTGATTCAATGATCATTTTTACAAAAATTCGTCCAATTCTAGAACCTCAATAGTAAGTCAACAGTGCCGAAAATTCAAAGATCAACCTATTATTATTCTTATTATTATTATTATTATTATTTCGTCCAATTCTAGAACCTCAATAGTAAGTCAATAGTGCCGAAAATTCAAAGATCAACCTAACCCCTATTATTATTATTATTATTATTAAGTACATAAAACTTCTCAACCTTTTAGTGTCATTTCAAATTGGTCTCTACCTTTTTGAACATTCCAAATAAGTACTCAACCTATTAAAAATTTCACATTTATTAAGCCCTAGTTAAACATTTATTAAATTAGCTAGGATTACTTTGTCTCTCAAATCAATGGAAGGTCATGGAAGCTTAGCCTCCACCAACTAACGGTTATCACCACCACCATCATGCCATCACCTCCAAACCCAACGCAAAACCACCAACTCCACCCTACAACTCAAGCCGCTAACATCGAGAATAAGGTCATGGAGATTGATAAAATGGTATGGATTACATGATGTGGCCATCACCATCTTCACTACCCACAAAGAACTAAAAGCTTTACAAGTTGACAATCAGTGAATGAGGAAATCACATGAGCAGAAACAAACTCATTGAAACCTTATTTAAATTGCTAACCCTCTTTTTTGTTAAGTGATTGTCCTTCTGATTTAAATTCAATTTTGGTCCATTTTTTATTCAATTCAATACATGTTTGATCATCTTATTTCATATTATATCATCTATATTTGAAACTTGGATTTTGAGACAACTAATATTAATATTGTCTTTGATAACCGAGTTGATGGGTTTTGAATATAATCTAAGTTTGAAAAATTAACAAATGTGACATTTTTAATATGTTGGGTATTTGTTTAGAATATTTAAAAATGTTGAGACCAATTTGGATTGACACTAAGGGTGCGTTTGTTGCACCAGACTATCTTGGACTGGACTAGCTTCAGGGATTAAGCTAGACTGGCTTAAACTAGACTAAGCTGGACTAACTTAGTGTTTGGTGCAGTGTCGGATTAAGTAACATACAATATTTTTTTGGCCATTTTTAATTCACTTGAAAATTAAACAAAAATTAATAATAAAAGGGGTGAAGTCTGGGAGATGAATGGAACCAAGAACATTTTAATTCCTTTCCTTCCTATACCCTTCATCGTTTATCTTCCCCATCATTTTCTCTCTGTCAAATCCTGCATCAATCTCTTAATTTTCTTCATCGATAAGAGAATTTGTATTGGGGTATTGGAATCCAAATTACCTCGCTGTCAAAATGCAGAGCCTTTATACAATCAAGATCAGGTTTGCATACTATAAGCTTTTCACAATCAACATCCAAATCTTCCATCCCTCTCCCTTGCACTTGAAATATGTTAGCATATCTGAAAGATGGGGTGAGTTCGTGGTTTGGAGGTCTCAGCCCTCTAATTTTCAAAATCCCCAAATCAATTAAAAAAAATCTCAGCCATCTCGATTCCAAGACCCAACCTTCCTGAGAACTCCTCCAATTTTCAAAAAGTCAACTTCCCAATTCCAAGCACCACCGACGGCCTGGCCACGATGACAGCGCTGCAGAAAAAAAAACGGAGCCTGTGAACTGGAACTGGATGTCCACCTCGTTTCCGTAGTCCCGCTTAATACCAAGCGAAAGCAGGGGACTAGCTAATGAGGTTTAGTGAAGGGCGGAGTGCATCGTAGTCGAGGCGAGTCCCACGTATTCTAGTCCAGAACCTTACCAAACATAGGATTATAATCCTAGTTAAGCTAGTCCAAGCCAATCCCTTCTAAGGAGGTGTAACAAACACACCCTAAAAGAATAGAGGATTTTAGGTACTTAATCTTATTACTATTATAGTATGTGGGTTAAAATTTAGGGTACTTACTACAAAATCAATAAAATATTATGATATTGACAAATATCTAAACTATATATTAATAAAACACTCATTGTCAACTAAAATTATATGAAATTACCAGTTTAACCTTTTAATTTATCCTTCTTATTTGCTTATGTATACATCACAGAATCATTCTCCGTGTTTGTATTATCCTTCTTAGTAATTTGATTTTACATTTGCGTACAATTAGCTTTCAAAAGAACATGTAACTATACAAGTGGATATTCATTTCTTCATTCAACACTATTTGAGTCTCTGTCTGGTAACAGTTATCCAACCCCCCAAGCCAATTCTAGACATCCAATGAGGCGCATGAGATTAGGACTGTCTGGTAAGATCATAAAGTTAGAGATGTGATAGGCGCATCATGGGAAGAGCCAAAATGCAATATCATAGGCCCTTTGGTCTGTGTGACTATCAAGTTAATTGGACTCAGGAAAGCCGAATGAGGTAAAGCCAGGCTCCTTAAATTAAGGCCTAGGATGTTTTGCAGACTAAATTTACAAAGACAGTGGTTATATGGATTGAGGACGAGCAACATAAAGTGCCAACTGGTGTGAGAATTTCAGATCCAAGCTAGTCTTCTTCTTAAAGAACTAGAATAGATCTGTTCGGACTGAATAGACAAAGACGAAGGACGGATTTCCCTCCTTAGGACTCTCAAAGCAATAGCTGGTAAGAGATGTGATAGCAGTTGACTGGAGGGCAGAGACTAGATGAAAACTTAGTTTAGCAATTGTAGTAGTTGACTTGTATATCTCAATTGCACAAATAAAGAAACAGCATGTAAATTACAAAATAATTCAGAGACTTAGATCATGTCTGGCTGCCCTCCTGTTAAACATGACATCGACTAAATAAGGAAATGATTCGTGTGCCTCTATGTTTAGCTCCCTCACCTGTTTCATCCTCGATGCCAATATCGAATCAACTGGGGCATACATTGGGAAGACCCCACACCTTGTCACCTTTATCTTGGAACAATCAACGGCTCTGCCATCAGGAAGATCATCTGTCATTGGGTAGAAGTCAACTATGGCCTCGGTGACGCCATTGTAGCTTCCTTGCTTTACATGGTCAAAGGTACTAAACCAGATGAACACGTGAGGCGTTTCAAACTTGCACTCATTGATTTCCCCATATTCGGCAACCATGCAACTCCGATGATGGACACGATGATCACAAGAGTCTTTGAAATTGATTTTACATCCAACCCTCAAACTCCCTCCAACATTATAATTCTTGAATGCAACAACAACAGAATAAGCGAAACCCAAAAAATTAGCGTTAAAGAAGTTTGAACCAAGTTCGATCCGTAGTACAGATTTATCAACTTCATTTGGGAACCATCTTGGAATTGCACTTCCCGGACATACAATGCAAACTGGAGATTTAAAAACATATTCCTGTTCATCAATAAATGTGTTAGAGAGCAGAAAACCCGAGTTATTCAATTTAACAACAGAGAGAGAGAGAGAGAGAGACATACATTACTTTCTTCTTCAAATTCAAGATGAAATGCCACTTTAATTTCCTCTTGTGTAAAATACTTCGATAACGCAGTTGCCATTCGCATAATTCTAATCTGTGAATCAGTAACTATATCACGCCATGCATCCCATCCCATTCCTTTGCAATTTGAATATGTAAGTTGCTCTTGAAGTCCTTGAGAATTTTTATACTCATCCCAACCTAATGTAAGCGCAGTCTTTGAGCTCAACACTTGCTTGAGTGATGTGCATCCATGTGCTTGAAGCCAACGTACCCCTGGAAGCTCTGGTAAAGATTCAAGGCTCCTGCAATTGGTTAACTGCAGACTAATCAGCCGAGAAGCTTCTTTGATGCTTGCAGGTAGGCACTTGATCACAGTTCCACTCAGATCAAGTTTCTCAAGAGATTTCAAATTACCAATGCTTTCAGGTAGGCACTTGATCGCAGTTCCACTCAGATCAAGTTTCTCAAGAGATTTCAAATTACCAATGCTTGCAGGTAGGCACTTGATCGCAGTTCCACTCAGATCAAGTTTCTCAAGAGATTTCAAATTACCAATGCTTGCAGGTAGGGTTTTTAATAGCGGTTCCCCTCAGATCAAGAAATTTCAAATTACCAATGACTGCCCTCCTGTTAAACATGAGATCTACTAAATGAGGAAATGATTCGTGTGCTTCTACGTTTAGCTCCCTCACCTGTTTCATCCTTGATGCCAATATCAAATCAACAACTGGGGCGTACATTGGGAAGATCCCACACTTTGTCACCTTAATCATGGAATAATCAACGACTCCGCCATCAGGACAATCATCTATTATTGGGTAGAAGTCAAATATGGCCTTAGTGACGCCATTAAAGCTTCCTTGCTTTAAATGGTCAAAGGTACTAAACCAGATGCACACGTGAGGCGTTTCAAACTTGCTCTCATTGATTTCTCCATATTCGGCAACCATGCAACTCTGATGATAGATACAATGATCACCATAGCCTTTGAAATTGATTTTACATCCAACCCTCAAACTCCCTCCAACATTATAATTCTTGAATGCAACAACAACCGAATAAGCGAAACCCAAAAAATTAGTGTCAAAGAAGTTTGGACCAAGTTTGATCCATAGTAAAGATTTATCAACTTCATATGAAAACCATCTTGGAATTATATTTCCAGGACATACAACGCAGACTGGAGATCTAAAAACATATTCCTGTTCATCAATAAATGTGTTAGAGAGCAGAGAAACCGAGTTATTCAATTTAACAACAGAGAGAGAGAGAGAGAGATAGAGAGAGAGAGAGAGAGAGAGAGAGAGAGAGAGAGAGAGAGGGAGACGTACTTTACTTTCTTCTTCAAACTCAAGATGAGATGCTACTTCAATATCTTCTTGTTTAAAGTGCTTTGACAATGCAGTTGCCATTCGCATAATTCTAAACTGCGAATCACACCAAGCATCCCATCCCATTTCTATGCAATTTGAAAATGTAAGTTGCTCTTGAAGTCCTTGAGAATTTTTATACTCATCCCAACCTAATGTAAGCGCAGTCTTTGAGCTCAACACTTGCTTGAGTGATGTGCATCCATGTGCTTGAAGCCAACGTACCCCTGGAAGCTCTGGTAAAGATTCAAGGCTCCTGCAATTGGTTAACTGCAGACTAATCAGCCGAGAAGCTTCTTTGATGCTTGCAGGTAGGCACTTGATCACAGTTCCACTCAGATCAAGTTTCTCAAGAGATTTCAAATTACCAATGCTTTCAGGTAGGCACTTGATCGCAGTTCCACTCAGATCAAGTTTCTCAAGAGATTTCAAATTACCAATGCTTGCAGGTAGGCACTTGATCGCAGTTCCACTCAGATCAAGTTTCTCAAGAGATTTCAAATTACCAATGCTTGCAGGTAGGTTTTTAATAGCGGTTCCTCTCAGATCAAGAAATTTCAAATTACCAATGACTGCCCTCCTGTTAAACATGAGATCTACTAAATGAGGAAATGATTCGTGTGCTTCTACGTTTAGCTCCCTCACCTGTTTCATCCTTGATGCCAATATCAAATCAACAACTGGGGCGTACATTGGGAAGATCCCACACTTTGTCACCTTAATCATGGAATAATCAACGACTCCGCCATCAGGACAATCATCTATTATTGGGTAGAAGTCAAATATGGCCTTAGTGACGCCATTAAAGCTTCCTTGCTTTAAATGGTCAAAGGTACTAAACCAGATGCACACGTGAGGCGTTTCAAACTTGCTCTCATTGATTTCTCCATATTCGGCAACCATGCAACTCTGATGATAGATACAATGATCACCATAGCCTTTGAAATTGATTTTACATCCAACCCTCAAACTCCCTCCAACATTATAATTCTTGAATGCAACAACAACCGAATAAGCGAAACCCAAAAAATTAGTGTCAAAGAAGTTTGGACCAAGTTTGATCCATAGTAAAGATTTATCAACTTCATATGAAAACCATCTTGGAATTATATTTCCAGGACATACAACGCAGACTGGAGATCTAAAAACATATTCCTGTTCATCAATAAATGTGTTAGAGAGCAGAGAGAAACCGAGTTATTCAATTTAACAACAGAGAGAGAGAGAGAGAGAGAGAGAGAGAGAGAGAGAGAGAGAGAGAGAGAGAGAGAGAGAGAGAGGAGACGTACTTTACTTTCTTCTTCAAACTCAAGATGAGATGCTACTTCAATATCTTCTTGTTTAAAGTGCTTTGACAATGCAGTTGCCATTCGCATAATTCTAAACTGCGAATCACACCAAGCATCCCATCCCATTTCTATGCAATTTGAAAATGTAAGTTGCTCTTGAAGTCCTTGAGAATTTTTATACTCATCCCAACCTAATGTAAGCGCAGTCTTTGAGCTCAACACTTGCTTGAGTGATGTGCATCCATGTGCTTGAAGCCAACGTACCCCTGGAAGCTCTGGTAAAGATTCAAGGCTCCTGCAATTGGTTAACTGCAGACTAATCAGCCGAGAAGCTTCTTTGATGCTTGCAGGTAGGCACTTGATCACAGTTCCACTCAGATCAAGTTTCTCAAGAGATTTCAAATTACCAATGCTTTCAGGTAGGCTTTCAATTGCAGTTCCACTCAGATTTATATGCTCAATGTTTGGACTTCGGGAGAGATCTGGAACTTTCATCAGAGTTCTGGACAAACCAAGATCCATCACTCTTAATTTCATAAGATTCTGCAACAAATAACCGATAAATTGCAAGTATTAACAACTTAGCCTGATCAAAGTAACTTTCTACACTACATTAATGTACGAAGTTAAATGAGCATAGACATACCTGGCCTTCATTCCAAAGTTGCTCAACTTGGCTGTTCCGCATTTGAAGCTCAACAAGATTTTCCGGACAAAGTTTTGATGGCAAAGATTTGAAAGGGTATCCCTCCCAGTCAAGATAAGTAAGAGAATGGGGAAGAGAAACTTTTACGTTGCAGTACTTGTTACGGCTAGAATTATAAACGTATAGCAACCTTAGATCATACATATTTTCGAAGTCTGCATGATCCAAGAGTATCCCTTTAATCGCAGACCTGTTAAAGAAAATGGCTTGTAGCGTTGCACTTCCCTGAGAATAAAGAACAAAGTATAAATGTGAATACAATGCAATATACATAAAATTTAAATGGAAGTGAATGCATTCGGTGATCTTACCGTATTAGTTTTCAATTCCCGATTGAAATCCTCATCAACAAATAACCTATTGCATTTTTCGGGCTCTTCAATACATTGTTCACGAACAATTGACCTACCCATTTCTTGTAACAAATTATGCATCTGCAGGCTGTTATTTGTTGAAATTGATATGAGAGACTTATCAATCAGAGCTCCAATTACCGATGCACGAAAACCACATATATCTAGCATTTCTTTTACAATGTACACATCTTTCCCTTGATAAAAACATGCTATATCAAGAAATATCTCCTTCTCAATTTCTTTTAATCCATCATAACTTGATCTCAACACTTTCCAGATCTTTTCTCTTGGAAATTCTTTCCATTCATCCAGCCAATCTTCTTTGCTCTCACATTGAAGGAATGAGGAACCCAAAATTTGAAGAGCTAATGGAATCCCTCCACAATAATCTACCACAAGTTTTGACAACTCTGCACAATCGACTCTAGAAATGTTATTTCCAAAAGCACTCAAATGAAAGAGTTGAAAAGCTTCATCAGAATTTAATTCCTGAACCTCGTATATCTTATGTTCAACACTTTTCTGAAGTAGGCTCTTATCTCTAGTTGTTATAATTACTCTACTTCCGGGGCCAAACAGAGCAGGATCTCCAGCTAGAAAATTTAATTGCTTTGAATCACTTACATCATCAAGAACAATGAGGACCTTCGTACTTCCCATCCTCTTTCTAACAAGATCTGATCCTATAGTTGGAGTGCCGATGTTTAGATCATTTTCCTTTAATATCTCACTAAGAAGTGTGTTTCGCAGGTGAACTAGTCCATCTTTTGCCGATTTCTCCCTCACATTTTCAAGAAAACAAGAAGCTTCAAATTTAGAAGAGAGTCGATGAAACACAGCATCAGCAAGGGTGGTCTTGCCAATGCCACCCATGCCCCAAATACCTACAGTGTATACATCAAGTGAATCAATGCATAATGATGACTCAATTTCATGAATGCATCTTTCCATTCCAACAAGGCCCTTTAAAACACTTGACGATTTTCTATTCAGCTGGCTCCAAATTTCGTTTACAACTTCCGTAACTAAATCGGCCTCCGTCCTGGCAAATATATGACGGACAACTAATAATTAGTTACAGGCATTCATTAATTAATCCTGCATGCGTTAAATTCACTACAAGTTATAGAATTAGTTACCCTGTTGCGTTTGAGAAGCCAGATAGATTAGCTGCAGTCGTCAAAGCAGCCCTCCACACGTTCACCTTGCCGATAGCGCCCTTGAAACGTTTTTCATGTTGAGCAAATGCAACTTCATAACTCCCCTTTTGTTTTCGTACCGTTGATGGACCGGTGCCGTAAAAAATGGGAATAACCAACTGGCCATATTTTTCCCTGCAGTGTAGTATATGTGCAAGTTCATCCAAGCACCAGGTGGAAGATGCATAGTTTTGTGAGAAAATGACCAACGAAAGCGTAGATTTCTCGATTGCTTCTAGAAGGGCAGGTGCAATTTCACCCCCTCTCACAAGTCTGTAATCTATGTAGGTTTCAATTTTCTTCCGGAGTAAGGCAGCGTGAAGATGGCTAGTAAAAGTATTGCGGGTGTCCTCACCTCTGAAACTAATAAACACATCATACTTTTCTAAAGGGGCTGGGATACAATCATCATCATCATCATACTTTTCTCGAGGGGCTGGGATATCATCATCGCCCGACGAATCTTGACGGGGAAAACGCCGACCCATATGAGCAATTGGATCAGACAAGGTTTCTTCCGACCCACCCATTTGATTTGCAGAATCACCATGGTCAGCATGAGCACGATGAGGACGATCAGCGCCTGAAAAATGAAACTCCAATCGAGACTCCATTGATGCGATTACAGCGGACAGATTCTGCATTGTCGACCCGATCGTTGCGACGGAAGATTGGATTTCCTGAACCGAACCTTCAAGAGCTGCTAATCGTGTATCCATGGTTTTGGCACGCGTCGTTGCTCTCGTCATACAAGAAGGAAAACGTGGAGGTTTGTTACTGGCTGATACCAATAATACAACCCATTGTTCTAACCTTACACTTGTACAGTAATATTCCTCTCAGTATCATTCAACAACTTCTTTTACAAGATATGCCCTGCATTTGCACAAGTGTTCAGTATTTATACCGAACTGCAAGCTAAGGCAGTTACAAGATATTTCCCAAATCTTATCTCTAACCAACCAATTATTATTGGCACTAACAATCAACAATTACTAACAGATATGATACTTAGCACTAACAACCAACAATTACTAACAGCATCCTATCAAAAAAGACCAACAAGAAAATGTTAATGATCTGAAGCACGTGTACAACAGAGTACCGATGGAAGTGACGACGATGAGAACTTGAAAGAACCCAATGAACTCCATCTCTCTTTTCTTTATAACAAGCGAGTAAGATGAATGACACCAATTGGATTGCACCAGATATGTACAAATAAAAATTAAAGTAGGAAGGAAATTACCCAAACACTTCGTGGAATGCACTTTTAAGCATTCAAACTAAAGACTTTTGGCACCGGGTGGCTGCAGTTGACCATATCACGTGGCCCGTGTCGTGTCTTACGACTGATGCTGAAAAGAGTTGTGACATGTTGCGAAACTCCCGATGCGCACTTGAGAACGACGTTGCAGACTCCATCACCATCACCCATCATTCCAAACAATAGATTTATAAAGTTATACATATAGATTTTCACTCTAAATCAGTAAATTCTGACATAATGTATAAGCACTAATTAGTCACGTATTTGACTTCTCTCCACAAATTTGCGTGATTCAAGGATCATTTTTACAAAAATTCGTCCAATTCTAGAACCTCAATAGTAAGTCAATAGTGCCGAAAATTCAAAGATCAACCTAACCCCTATTATTATTATTATTAAGTACCTAAAACTTCTCAACCTTTTAGTGTCATTTTAAATTGGTCTCTACCTTTTTGAACATTCCAAATAAGTACTCAACCTATTAAAAATTTCACATTTATTAAGCCCTAGTTAAACATTTATTAAATTAGCTAGGATTGCCTTGTCTCTCAAATCAATGGAAGGTCATGGAAGCTTAGCCTCTACCAACTAACGGTCATCACCACCACCATCATGCCATCACCTCCAAACCCAACGCAAAACCACCAACTCCACCCTACAACTCAAGCCGCTAACATTGAGAATAAGGTCATGGAGATTGATAAAATGGTATGGATTACATGATGTGGCCATCACCATCTTCACTACCCACAAAGAAATAGAAGCTTTACAAGTTGAAAATCGGTGAATGAGGAAATCACGTAAACAAAAACAAACTCATTGAAACCTTATCTAAATTGTTAACCCTCTTTTTTGTTAAGTGATTGTCCTTCTGATTTAAATTCAATTTTGGTCCATTTTTTATTCAATTCAATACATGTTTGATCATCATATTTCATATTATATCATCTATATTTGAAACTTGGATTTTGAGACAACTAATGTTAATATTGTCTTTGATAACCGAGTTGATGGGTTTGGAATATAATCTAAGTTTGAAAAATTAACAAATGTGACATTTTTAATATGTTGGGTACTTGTTTAGAATATTTAAAAATGTTGAGACCAATTTGGATTGACACTAAAAGATTAGAGGGTTTTAGGTACTTAATCTTTATTACTATTATAGTATGTGGGTTAAATTTAGGGTACTTATTACAAAATCAATAAAATATTATGATATTGACAAATATCTAAACTATATATTAATAAAACACTCATTATCAACTAAAATTCTATGAAATTACCAGTTTAACCCTTTAATTAAAAAGGAACATGAATAACTAATATAGGCAGAAATGTAATTTCACACAACCAAATTTTGTTTTTTTTCTTTTTTTCAAAAGCTTACGTACATGTAATCCTAACATATCTCTAATTAAAAAAAAAAAAAAAAAAACCCTTCCAAAGACAGTGGTTATATGGATTGAGGCCAGGGATGTTTTGTAGACTAAATTTACAAAGACAGTGGTTATATGGATTGAGGACGAGCAACATAAAGTGCCAACTGGTGTGAGAATTTCAGATCCAAGCTAGTCTTCTTAAAGAACTAGAATAGATCTGTTCAGACCGAATAGACAAAGACGAAGGACGGATTTCCCTCCTTAGGACTCTCAAAGCAATAGCTAGTAAGAGATGTGATAGCAGTTGACTGGAGAGCAGAGACTAGATGAAAACTTAGTTTAGCAATTGCAGTAGTTGACTTGTATATCTCAATTGCACAAATAAAGAAACAGCATGTAAATTAAAAAATAATTCACAGACTTAGATCAGGTCTGGCTGCCCTCCTGTTAAACATGAGATCCACTAAATACGGAAATGATTCGTCCTCGATGCCAATATCGAATCAACTGGGGCATACATTGGGAAGACCCCACACTTTGTCACCTTTATCTTGTAACAATCAACGGCTCTGCCATCAGGAAGATCATCTGTCATTGGGTAGAAGTCAAATATGGCCTCGGTGACGCCATTGTAGCTTCCTTTCTTTACATGGTCAAAGGTACAAAACCAGATGAAAACATGAGGCGTATTTAACTTGCACTCATTGATTTCTCCATATTCGGCAATCATGCAAGTCCGATGATACATACGATTATCACAGTAGCCTTTGAAATTGATTTTACATCCAAGCCTCAAACTCCCTCCAACATTATAATTCTTGAATGCAACAACAACAGAATAAGCGAAACCCAAAAAATTAGCGTTAAAGAAGTTTGAACCAAGTTCGATCCATAGTACAGACTAGGAAGTGGTGCCCGCGCGTTGCTGCAGGATAAGAAAGTTTATAGGTAATAACAACTAAAAAATTATTAAAATTAGATTGAGCATAATTTGTAAATTGTTCAGTTTTGACTAACGTTATATTAATTTATACAAACAAATGCATTGAGATATAAAGAGTAAGTGAAATTGGATACATACCTGGCTTGAGAATTTGGATAACGTCTTAGAAAAGATAAGTATATTGCAATTTAGTACAACAAAGACGGATCAAATTTATGTAAATTGGTAAACTCAGTTTTGATTATCTGGAGTAAAAATCATCATTTCCTTCTCTTCAGAGGAATTAACCATTACCAATTTATATAGACATCGTACCACTAAAGATAAACCTTGTCCATATTTTCTAAATTTGTGAAAGAACATATTAGATTAAAATATGAGGAGAGGGTATATCTCTAGTACATATGTCTACTTTTATACTTTTGGATATCCAATTTAACCTTTCAATATGCAAGCAGGTAATTTGCCATGTATTTAAATGATGTGAAAAGATAATTTGTATATATATTAGTCAAATGGATTATAACAACACTGTGTGAACAGATGTCCACGTGAAGCTGCGGATGCCAGCCTGATGTTACAGATGCCTGTGTGATTGAGAATAACTTGCACTAAATTCTATATAAAAAAGGGACAGATTAACATATTTATATATACTAAAACCCAAACCGATGGTTACTGTTCTAGGGCAGTGTGCGGACTAAAATGCCCCTCAAGTTAGTCTTCAGCAGTTACTTTTTGTCTTTGTTGTACAGTAAAATCCCGAATTTGCCCTTTCTATTCACCCGTTCCTCGATCTGTGGGGTCTTTCTTTTAGTCCTTTTTTAATTCTTTAAACCTAGCCGGTGGGCAGACAAAAAATATTAAAAAAATGTGATTAAAATCGGGCCATGTGGTTTGTGGCACAACAAACAATAAAAATGTATACCTTCCTAATTTTTTAAACCCATGTATAGCTGATGGGAAGAGCAAAAAAATATTTAAAAAATGTGATTAAGACCGGGCCACATGGTTTGTGGCACAAGAAACAATAAAAATTTATACCTTCTTAATTTTTTAATCCTATGTATAACCGGCGGGAATACCAAAAAAACATTAAAAAATATGATACACAGTGAATTTAACAGAAGGAGGCTGGAAAAGTTGGGGGAACCGGGGCCTCTCTTACCACGTGTTGGTCATCGTGAGGTTTGCTTTTCTCGCTCTATACACAGCCTGCTTTTTGTTTCGTTGTTCCGTTTCCCATACCCATTTCTGCTCTTCTATTGTTCCGTTTCCAGCCTCTTCTTAGCTTTTTCTTTCCGTTCGCTCTCTCCATTCTCACCTTCTGCTTTTTTTCTCTTCCACGCCAGTGTTGTTCCATTGAGTTTTGCGTTTTTTCCAGTTTATCTGATTTAATTTTTTTCGGTGGTTTTCGATTTGCAGATGGATTTTTTCTTTAAATTTTTTTTTTTTTTCATTTTGGGGGTTTGATATGTGCGCTTATTTGGTTTCAGGAAACGCTCATGTCCCAATTTTGGGGCTTTCATGTGCGATTTCGCAAGCTCTTTGTGTTCAAGGTGTGTATATAAAATCTACTCTTTCTTTTGGGCTTTTTGTCGAACAAAATTTAAATATTTTTTGGGTGGTCTTCGATTTGGCTCTTCGATTTGGCTCTATGATTTGCTTTTCTTTTCATTTCAGGAAACGTTTGTCTTTGTTTTTTGGAAATTTTGTATATGCGTTTGCAAACCATTTGTGCATCAGCTATATAATTTCAATTTTTTTTTCATGGTTTATGTGTGGTTCTCTGATGTGTTTTGATTTTGATTTCAGAAAAAGTTAAGGATACGATCAAACGTTTACTGGTGAGTTTTCTATTTTTCTGATTGTGTGTGATTTAATTTTTTTTCAAGCTTTGGGTGTACTTTTCTGATCTGCTTTGATTTTTAGTTGCAGCAAAAGTTGTTGGTCGAATTTCCAGTTTTTCATTGCGGCTTTGCAAGCTCTTTATCATCAAGGTATAGAATTTTTAAAGAGAGTATAATTTTAAAGAGAGTATATGTATGGATTTAGGTACCAAGGCAAAAAATTGGTTGCTAACAGTGCGATAGGGTAGAGGTTTGCTTAGAGACTGAAATTTAAAAGATAGAGATCGCTTTGTTTAAATATTTTTGAAAACAAGAGTTGTAAAATGATAAAAGAAAGAGATTTTCTTAACTGATCAAATTGTTATCATGACTAGCTTTTGCTTCTTTTGTGTTAATAAATGTTAGATGCATTTAGGTTTTTGCTGAATTTGAATTTTCTGTTTAATTTGGATTTTCGTGTTTTGTATTTTGAATTCGAATCCTAATTTGAAAATGAATTAGGATAAATGATTGCTACCTAAACTGATGACCATGATAGAGCAAAAAATATACTTAGTCTTTTTTTTTTTAATCTTTTTATGAGAATTCTTACAAAAAAATCTAAAAAAAATGTGATAAAGCAACTGATTCTAAGGCAAAAAAATTTTAAAAAAAGAGATTTTGGCACGATAAGTCTTTCTTTTAGTCCAGAAAAAGATAAAATAATGATAAAAAAAATTGGTGGCAGGACAAATGAATATTAAAAAAATATGATAAAACAACTTATGGCAGGAAAAATTGATGGCAGGACAAAAAAATGTTAAAAAATGTGATAAAGCAACTGATGGTAAGGCAATAAAAATCTTGAAAAATGTGAGTTAAACCCGGCGTGACACGACAAGTCTTTCGTAAGGCAAAAGAAAAAATTAAAAAATACAAGCTAAACTTAATGTGGCAAGATTCTTTTAGTTCAGAAAAAGATAAAATAATAATAAAAAAATGGGTGGCAGGACAAAAAAAATATTAAAAAATGTGATAAAGCAACGTATGTTTGTAAGCTCTTTTCTTTTGTTTCTCTTTTCTTTTCTGCACGTTTGCTGTCTTATTTCCTTTTCTCCTTTTCTCTTTCATTTTTAGCTTCTCTTTTTTTTTTTTTTCTGATGATCAATATTGTTTTTTCTGCAGTTACTGCTTCAACCAAAAAACTTTTGCTCATGTGTTAAGAGGATGTTGGCATGTGTTATCCAAAAAAAAGAAGTATTGATTTCACATTTTTTTGTGTGTAAATAGTTGATCCTAACATGAATTCTCCGTTCTTTTTTATGTATATAAACAATGGGCTCTTTAGGATCACTGTCAAGGGGGAATACTAGATTAACCATTTTTGTGTACTGATGATAAGGCATTTGATAATGTATTTTCTGTAAATCATATCAACTTACACAGCTTCGGAAAATTATTTGTTTCATTTCATGTTTAGTATTTATAACTCTTTGCATATTTATATGTTAAAAACATAATCTATAGTTATATTTTCGCTCCCGCAACAACGTGCGGGCAAAATTTACTAGTTTAAGCTAAGTATTAAGATGCAAACATTATTAAGATAAGAAATCATATAATTAAGCAGAAAATTGATAACGTATTCAATAAAAGTACAAAAGGAAAAGGGGTTATAGAAAATTACACTTTAAATATTTCCAATTAGTGATTAATCACTTTGATTATTGGCAATCTACAAACAATGACTGATTAACGTCAAATGAAATTGATATAAAATTCAAAGATTCAAGAATTTAATTAAAAATTATACCTATACTATCCGGACCTTATTGTATATAAATAAAAATTTAAATAATAAAAAAAATTCAAGGTTCCATGATGGATGGTTTTAAAAATCAGAAGCTGAGATGATGATACCTCCAGCATTTCTCAAACTCTCAACATCCTGAAACAATAAAGCAAATCAACAATGCAACAAACATAAATCACATAAAGAAAATAACATACTGTAAAAAAGATGCAAATTTTTTCCCAAAGTTGAGCAGAAAACACACACCTTAAACTTCTCAATCTATTCATTAGGAGTGCATTAAGGACCCAACTGCATTTTACTGCTTTCTTCTTCAATCTTCCTCTCACTTGTACACTCATCTGCCTTCCAATCCTCACCATTCCTTCACTATCTGTATAAATAAAAATTGAAAAAGATATAACACTCTTAAATCAAACCCCAAAATAATTGGGTAAAAGCATTTTAGATTAAAACCCAAACCTAAACAGCTAAAAGGACCAGCACATAAAATTAATAAATGAATTTAAAGAACAGTAAACATATATTAGTCCCAAGAAAAAGATATCTATTGGACGTAATGTATGTTTCCCACCTTAATCATTTTTATATTGTTATTGTTATCTTGTAAGTACTGTTATCATGTTGGCTAGCACCCAGCGTAGTGCTGTAGTGGCGTACAACTTTTCCTTTCTTTATTGTACCAATAGCTCTCTTGCACCCTCATGTTGAGCTCTTCTCTACATATATACCTCTTGTAAGTAATCTTAATCAGTCAGTTATCATGAATATACAATTTATATTAATTTTCTACAATATCCAACAGACAAACATAACAGAAGAAGAAACTTTTACTTAAGCAGCGCAAAAGGATATCCTCTGCATTTCATTCCAAAAGCCATCACTCTTATGTCTTTGCCTGCACAGTTTTTGCTCCAACATAGCCTGCCATGATGATAGCACTATCAATAATTAAGACATAAAGAAAGGCTATCCTAGCTAGCCATTATCGTTGGAGTAAACCAATACCATCGTAAGTAAAGTAGCAGACCAAGTTTTTTTAGAATTGATGTGTTAACATGTTTAAGTAGCAAAAAGAATACAACACATTGGATGTGTTAACACATCCATAAGCTGATGATTCCCTCTCCGGTTTATCACATCATTCTTAATATATTCAACAATGTAGCAACAATGAACTCACATAGACTACGTTTTTTAACTGTCTCTCTCTCGTTCTGATCATCCACATGTGTTTCTGAGAAATGTTTAGCCATTTAACTAAAACACAAAAAAAAAAAAATAAAAAAATAAAAAAATCCTCACCCACATCAAAAAACCGAAACATGCAGAGCAAAACCCAAAAATTAAGGATGACCATCCCTCTTTTTTAAAGTTTTAGGGAAGGATCGATGCACAGACAATCGATGTACAGGAAAACCCTAACCTAAAAGACCAAAATTTCCCAAGATGAAAATTGCAATTAGATGGAACAACCAAACACAAATATCAGAAAAAATGCATAAAACATTCCAAATAAAAAACCCAGACACCTTAATCGAAAAGGGTTTCCAAGATTGCATAGAGAAACCCTAAAATTGATAGAGCAGTATTTCTTGAAAGAAAAAATGCAATCAGATTAAACAACGATGCTAAAAACACGAAAAAATTAGGAAAGAACTGATAAAAAAAACGCAAAGATTTTAATTTTACACCAATCGATCTACAATTTTTCTTCCTAATCAAAGAAAAGAGAAAAAGAATAAAATAGACAAACCACCTGAAACACCGCAATCAGCCAGAAAAACCACCTTTTCAGACGACAGACGATGAACACAAACAGAGAAGCAAGGAAACACGAAGATCGAACAGGGAGAAAAGCAGAAAAACAGAGAGCAGGCGAAAGGAAAAAGCAACGGAAGAAAGTGAGAAAAGGTTCGAGCACCTTTCCGTCTGTAGGCTCATTGTACAGGGGCAAAATCGCTCATTTCTGTAGCATCTTTTAAAAGGCTGAAAACCGCGCGTTAGAACAGGGACAAAACCGGAACGGCACCGTTAATGAACAGTGTTTTCCACCAACGTTTAGTGTAGTTACTAAAAATTATTGCCCGCACGTTGTTGCGGGATTAAAAAATGTAAAAAGCATTATGTTTGAAAGATATAAAAAATTGTCATTAGAGATTAATACAATTCATTGCTATATTTAATTGATACTCCACATAAAATTGTAGAAGTTTTGGCTATCTATGTACATAGAATATTTTAGATCAACACATTCCACTTGGTTAGTTTTTGTGATTTTCGATCAACAGCAGTACTTACATACAAAAGGTTATGGAACTTTGGGCTATTTACATGCAAAAAACGTTAAGAAATATTGTGTCATCTACATTGATAAAATATGACAAAAATTGTTCAATGAAACACCAAAAGTTCCCTCCAGTACTCTTAATTGCCAAAAAAGTAGTTTAAACCAATATAAGACCAAAAACTCTTCCAAATTCCATGTGTATTCAGTTTCTCTAAATCAACCAACTTCTCCGTTCCAAACTATCCAACAAATATTTGACAGCAATACAACCAACCACCAACAAACATTTTAAACTCATCGAAAGATCAAAACCCTTTCAAATTTGCATGCATATTAGTGATTTTCAACTAAATTATTTGGAGATGGAGACACACAAAGCTAGCATAGGAACCAAAGAAGATCTGCAAAAGCAAGTTAAGAGATCATCGTATTACAAAAACAAATTACATAATAAAATTAAGAGAGCATCATATTACAAAAGCATAATAATGTTCATTTGCAAATGTATTACAAAAACCTATGGTTTCATTCCACTTCACATAATTCACAGTGTTTTTTTTTTCAACCCACAAAATTTACGGCTTAGGTCAGAGAATTTGATCTGATTATTAATATTCAGACGGAAAAGATAAGACTCAAATGAAATGGGCATTTGAAGTCACTTTCTTATTTCTGATAACCACATCAATATAATATTTATACAAACATAGCAAAAAAGATTAGCAAGTGCAAGCACATATCTTGTGATAGTATACAAAAATGACTAAACCCGAAATTCCTAACACATACACTAATCTTATACAAAGAAATTAGAATATCAAAATCCTAACAAAACATGAGGCACAATGATCACAATTAGAAAAATATTTCAAATAAGAGCCAAACCAAAAATGCACATAAAGGTAAGTTATCAACTCAAATAAAACTCAATCTGATGCTCATTTCTAATTATGAATGCTCTCGGGACTCCAATCTTCTCATCCCAGTCGAAAAGAACTTCAAATGCAGACTCCTCTGCAGTTTAGAGGGTGATTGTTGTAACCCAATTTTCCAATTATGTTGCCCTTCCAACTTTTTCTTGCAACCAAGTTTCTAAAAAAACAGATTGAATTCAAAAGGTAATTGGACCAAGGCATAAAAAGACATAAGAAAAAGTATAGAAAGTATAAACCACATATATCACATATTATACTACTTTGTATTCCAAATACACATAAGAATATATCCATTCTAGTGAATGGCCTAATTCCAATTAATCTCACCTTTACTTTCTCTCAAACCCGTCAACTTATCTTTGACTTTGTTTTTCAACGACATCATATTTAAGAGTTAGCTTCCATCAAACCTTCACCTAGTCCCACCCTTACTTTCCTCTCTAACCCTTCATTATCCCACTTTTACCCCCTCAAACCCCTCAACTTACCCTGGACTTTGTTTCTGCAGCTTAGTTTCATTTAAAAGCTTATTCCTCAACAAAAGCATCATTAGTTTCAGTCTTAAATAATCAACACAAGAGAACTCAGGAAATCATTCTCCACTCTCTCGGTGACCAAACTTATGATAAGGAAGTGGAGAGAACGCATTGTTAAGAAGAAGAGTACCTCAAATGTTCAGAAACTAAGAAATTGAGAAGCTCAGTTGCATGTAGAACGACAGTGTTTCGACCTGACATTTTAAACTCTTCATAACATCAATTTCCATCTTACATTAGAATAAACCTCCAATGTTAGAAATATGAGTACAAACGAATGCTTAGTAAAAGAATTAGCCAATTCTAATAGAATTGTTAATCAAACTATGAAAGCAACATATGTATTTTTCCAAATTCAAACACAGAACCAACAGAGAGAATCCAATTGAAAACCGAACAGCCCAAACAGACCATGAAGATTATACAATCAGAAGAAGAGATATTTGGGGAAGAAGAGTTCATTACCTAGTCCGAAGGCAGCCGAGCAGCAGCAGAAACTAAAAAAGCAAACAACTTTGGCCTCAAATTTTATCTGAAAAAAATAATAAAATTAACAGGTAGGAGTGATAATGTTATTAATATGTGGGTTGTGTGTTGGTTTGTGTCTTTGAAACACCAAGAGGTCCAAAAATCGAAACAAAGTGGAAAATAAATCTTAAAAATTTTTAGCCAAAAACATCCTCTCTAGATAAAATTTAACGAAAAATTCATAAATTACAACAAGTAAATCATTGGAAAAACGAAACGTATATGACAACGAATAAGGCACTTGCAGGCCTCTTAAGCTTGTTCGGATCCTTCGCAACCTCCTTGCTCGCATCTCCACGTTTACTCTTCAACCTATGAAAATCAGAAACCAACACCGACACACAAATAAAGATGAGATATGTGGTTAATATCAAACAGAGCTTGGTGGTGATCTTTTCAAAAGTCAAGTTTGCAGTACAACTTTATATTTGTTTTCACTTACATTGATGATAAGTATAATCCAGACAGAGAAACTCATGAACCAGCCTGTCAAAATCATTGACGGAGAAATGATAAATAACGGATTCTCAAAGATACAGAAACATATCAAGAACTTGGACAATGAAGATACCCAAAAAAGGAATTTCTTGGACATGCAACCAACAGGTGTACAGAAAATTAAACAAAAATTCAAAATTGACGGTTCATATCGAGATCTTCAATCAAATCGCAAAAAGTTGTGAAAATTCATAACAAAATGGAAATAAAAAACATAATCTCACTTCGCATCAGTTTTTTTGTGAGCAGCAACTCTTGATTTCCCCATGTTCAACTAAACCTTCATAGAAAACTGCAAAAATAAACGATGAGAATCATTTATAAACGGCAACAAATCGATATTAACAAATAAAAAGAAGTATAAAAAAGAAGTCGGAGAAAAAATAGAGAGAAAAAGAGGGAGCGATGAAGGAGAAAATCGCAGAGCAACGGAGATCAAAAAACGAAGAGAAAAGGTAAAGTGAAAATGATGCGGTCAAAACAGAGAAAGTTGGAATAAAAGAAACTAACCGAGGGCATTTCCGCCCTTTCACTGTTGGTGAACAGTGCTCCTACTCACATGATGAACAGTGATTTTGGAACTGGGCTTTAGTATATATAGATATCTAGAAATTGGTACCCTGCGCGTTGCTGCGGGATTAAAAATTGTAAAAAAAATTATCATAAACGATTAATATTATTTATATTAAAAATGTTAGAAGATTTTAATAAACAAAAGATTTAATCTATACAATCCACACACAAACAATCGTAGAACTTGTGTCTCTACATAAAAAAAAAAAAAATCAAAGTCATTCACTGAAGCATCTAAAGTTTCCCTCCAGTACTCTTGTTTGTGAAGAAAACAACCTAGGCAAAGGAAAAATATGAAATATTAAAATACATGCAATTAATTTATACATCAACAGGTTTATACTACCAAAAAAAAAAGGATAAAGTATGGTTACCCAGTCTTTTTTTGGTGGAAAAGAATCTGGTTTTATACCAATTAGAGAGGACCTTTTTTCAGTGATTTTATAGTCTCTTATTTAGATCAGTGCATTTTTATATTGTAAATTGTAAATATTGAGATTTTATGTTATAGCTAAACAATCAATCTACAAACCAAGTTAACACCCATAGAATTATCCCCTGCATTATAAAGAGGACCTAATTCACTTCTTAATTCTACCTAACATGTATAACACTTAACATGTATAACATTTCATTTGTAACTTAAAACAACAGAACAATAATGAAAATGGTAGAAATAAGACATTAATTTTGAAACCAATGAATAAAAAATAATCACCATTAAGAAATTCAATAACCAAGCACACCTCTTGTGCTTTCCCAAATATCAATATCAATATTTCACACTGCAATTGGTAGTGAGAACACATAAAGGGATAAAAAAAGTTGAAGCAAAACCCTTAATATCATATTGTCATGGATAAAAACAGTGGGGCAGAGCGTTGATAAAAAAGAAAACAGTGATTTTTCTCTTTTGGATTTTCCACACCATCCAGTTCATCAAAGAAAATAAAAAGAGTGAGGTAAATCTTGGAAGCTCGCCTTAAACCAAATAGAAAAAGGATGCCTATTGAAAGTAAAAATCCAAGTAATAATCAAACCAACATAGTAAGTCATGAATCAACCATTTGTGTTTTCCATTCGAAAATGGGAAAGGACCAATTCCACCGCAGAGAGGGTCAAGAGAAAAATTTGGCTTCAAATTAAAGTCAAACAAATCAACCAATCTGTATAATTGTAGAACTATCTAACATAAATTTAAACATTCATAACTCTATATGTCAATTTACAATACCCAATATATGGATTCATCTAGAATCCCGCCACCAATCTATGACTAAAAGAAAAAATAACAGAATTGTAAGACAAAAGGTACCTGCTTTGCTTTCTCCCTCTCTTTTCAGCGCCTCTCCTCTACCGTCTGCTTGTTCTTCAACTCCTTTTCGTGCACTGTAAGCACCCCCACACAAAATTCGACGCAATCAAAACCATAAAAAAAAAAAAAGAATTAACAGCCCTCGTAACTAAAATAAGAAACCCATATGGATTAAAAACAAAAACCCAGAAGTGGGAAATAGACCAACAAAACATGACATATATATATTTTTTAAATTGATATTAATAGGGAAAACACAAAACTCGATAAATCTAATGAACAATTTCCTTCAACCCAATAAATATTTTTCCTTAAATAATCCAGAAACTCCACTTTCCTGTCATTAATACTACACCTATGCCTCAGTCCAATACTAATTTTTTTTATTTGCCGAAATGGAAAAAACCCAAAAGGCAAATAAAAAATTAAAGTGTTATACTGAAAGAAATGATTTTAAGATGATATTATTTTACATATAATATGTTTATACTGAAAGAGATGATTTTAAAGTGTTATTTACAAAAAAGATGATACTATTTACAACCAGCTTAAATCACACTGAGAGTCTGCTCTCTGAGCAAGTTTTTGACAAACTTGAATGGTAAAATGGACAAATCAATAGGTTGCAGGAGATGAATGAAATTTCAAATTGATTTACAATGAATGGATTAATGAAAAATTGACAGTAACACTAAACATGGTAGTCATACATATTAGAAAGCCATCCATCTATAAGCCAGTCCTCATAAGTTCATTCACTTGCACTATTCTTCTACTGTCTGATAAAGAAAACAAAGTTCTTGTAAGTACTCCCTAACCATATGAGCAATAAAATCTTTTAAAAGGAATCCTAATTGTCTCCACATTAAAGAAAACCATAAAAGAATTACTAATGACTATATCTGCAAACCAAATCTTTTTTTTTGTACCAGCTAAAGTACACATATGAATATCAAAACGAAAACCTCAAATTATCATAGCATTCCCTTTCTATCTTAATTTTTGAAAAAGGAAACACAATGGAAGAAAAAAATTCGACAATTTTATCTTGTAAATCATTACTACATAGAGTCAAAAGCACTTCAATTATGGAAGGAGGGAAAAGAGGTGCAAATAACTGGTTCTCAATAGAAATCATTGCCTAGTCATCAACTCTTTGTAAGCAAAAATTAGAAAAGTTTAGGATCTAGCATGATAATTTAAGTTACTTGATTCAATGTTCGCAATCATTGTGCTACTATTAAACTGATGTATTCTTCGAAAGAATATAATTGGTGTGTACTTATACGTAACACAACATAATTAGCCTTAAAATCAATATGCAAAACTTAATTAACTTGCACAACACTCATTTTATTGTTTACTCACGAACTTAAATATTGGCTCTTAGATAAGAGATGTAATGGTGACTTCTTAAGCCTTATACGATGCACGGTACCATAAATGCAAAACCTCCAAAACTCTCTGAATGCCCAAAATTCACAGTTACATAATCAACAAAATCCCCTGGAAAATGTTTTGTACAATAGTTTTCAATACTGTTAACAAAATACACATGTTTATTCAGGGAGTTAAACAAAATGTAAATCTTGGTATTCTTCCCTAAACTGTAGAAGCCCGCCAGACCTAAACTCTTTTCAATCTACCCCGAGTTAGTAATGATCTACTGTAGGTTCTTTTGGTCTAGATAGCCATTGAATGCAATCTGAGCGTGAAGGTTACCTGATGCATGGTGGTTTAATTGTCATCTGCTGCTTTTTAAGATGGAAATGGACTAATTCTTGTCTTTAGCTTAATGATATCAAATTCAGCTTGGTTCCAAACGTACTGCAAAAGTCAATTGAAAGTTAATGACATCTTTACAAGTAAACAATAGTTTAATTAGTCATAAAATTTTATCAGCTCTGCATCACAGAGATGAGAGCACCATATAAACTTAGGTTCCTGAATATTTTCAACAAGTCAAATGACAATATTCTAAAAACGAAAACTACATTATGGTCCTCAAGAAATATTCTAAGCTAGGAAACGCCTGAAGTTGAAATAAAGAAGCGCTGTCAGAAATAACAATTCCGATTTGTTTTGGTCTTATGATCACTCACTCCCAACTTATCATATTCTCAATACCATTTTTTCCAAACCTTGCATCTCCCAAATTATCAGATTCTCAATACCATTTTCTCAAAAACTTGCATACAACAACTAACCTTCTATTGTTTTCAATGTTTATAGATTACCGAGCAATGTAAATTTCGGATCCTTTCTTTAAAGCCAGAGCAGATAGACAAACTAATTGTAAAATAACACCTAAAACTGAGAGAAAAAAAGATATATGGGATAGATGGAAACTTGTTTGCAATTTCCCATGTATATCCATAACATGATTTTGAATTAATCTACACAAAAAATAAGTTTTGCAGGACACACGATATCAGGGAAAAAAAGGTCTAGAGATATTATGATAGATTGTGGGATGTTGTGATAGACTTCTAGTTAATACTATATGTTACATCAGATTCTTTATAAACACCTCTAGGTAACAAAAGTAAGCATTCTTCACTAATTAACTCTCTCAAATAGGCTCAATTTTCAGTTTAAATTTGGTCAACCGTTTGGAGTGCTTAACGTTTCCGATTCTTCATTTGTTAAATCGACTAAAAAGAGCAAAAATTAAAATGAAATTAAAAAGGTGAACCTGGTGGTCGCCACCGCCGCCGCCGATGAGGAGATCGAGGGGATTTATTTTAGCTTATCGGTTGAAAAGCTGGCTTTCTTCTTTCTTCTTCCCATTCAGGTTCTATTATGTGTCTTCTCGTTCTTTCAAAACACTACCAATAGTTCCAACCACGTGCCATTGGATCATAATCCAAATAATAACATAAAAGTCTTAGGAAGCTGGAAAAAAAAAATTCTATCACATCAAGTTCAAGCCTCCACTTACCACAAACTAATGTGTGCAGACTGGGCATTCATGTGGCTTCTCTTTCTCTAGCCAAAACCAAACAACATCATGCTCATCCTCTGCAATTAAAATACAACAAAAAAAAAAGACATCAAAATGATTGGAATAAAAATTTAAAAGATTCATTTTTTCTCAAATTCTCTAATCAAATCAGCTAACCATTTTCAAAACCCTACAAATAAAAGATCGAAGGGTTTATGCAGACCCAAATTCAACCATTAGAGAAAAGGCAGTGGCGATGGACTTCTGGAGAGATAAATGGTTTGAAGGAGGAGAGAGAAATGGAATTTTGGAGAGAGATGAAATTTTAAAGAGAGAGAAAGCAGAAAGGCAAGCGAGAGGAAGAGAGAAGGAAGACATTTAGTGGATTTATGTTTGTAGTTCGTGAGTTCCAATTGGAGAGATCTGCACTAGAAGTAAATGGAAAGGTTTACTGAACCTTCGAGAGAAAGCTCGAGAAATCTGAGAGAGAACACGCGTCCACGATCAGCAACAAGCGTCCAATATGTGTAAACCTGGCAAATTCAAGATAAAATGCTACTTTATTTTCTTCTTGTGTAAAATACTTCGATAACGTTGTTGCCATTAAGGGTGGGCACTTAGAACCGAAAACTGAAACCAAAACACGAACCAAATCGAACCAAACCGAATGGTTTGGTTTTGCGGTTTTGAAACGATTTCGGTTTTGAAACCGAGCCGCAACATAGAAAACGGTTTAGTTTTGATTTTGGCTTTTGAAAACCACACCGAAACCGAACCGCACCGTAAATATTAATAAGCATTTAATTAAATGTCCATATTAGATTTCATGTTTTAATCGGTCGTTTGTTAGAATCTATACACTTAGTATGGACTCAACCACACTATAATATTATCATTCATCACTTTCTTTCGTTCATTAACTTGAAGAACCTTTGTTATTTTATACCATCACACACACATATATATATACAAGGGTGGACTAATCTTGTTATCAATAGTCGAACAATGATCTAATGAAGTCCACTCATTTGAAGCATGATATCACATATTCTAGTATGAAAGTTTTGCTCACGTGTATTGAATTCAAATTTATTCAACTTGTTTTATGAAAAACATTGTAAGGGACACCCTTTTGTTGCACAAACATGTTTTAACATCACAACTGCATTGAACATGCTAATTGTTTACATAACAAATGTCTTTTTCCTATTACTATTGGGAAATGCTTATTAATATGTTAAATTGCAAATTGTACATTTTTTCTTAAAAACCAAACCGAAACCGTTTGAAACTGCACCGAACTGAACCAAATGGTTTGGTTTCATTTTGGTTTTGGCTTCAAAACCGCACTGAACCAAACCGCAAAAACTTACGGTTTTGGTTTTGGTTTTGGTTTCGGTTTCACTCAAAACCGCACCAAACCGAACCGCGCCCACCTCTAGTTGCCATTCGCATAATTCTAATATGTGAATCAGTAACTATATCACGCCATGTATCCCATCCCAGTCCTTTGCAATTTGAATATGTAAGTTGCTCTTTGAAGCCCTTGAGAATGTTAATGTTACACCCCACCCCTCATTTTTATTTAAAAATAGTTTTGGTTCTTATTTGGTGAGCCTAAGGGGCCCACCCCTGATTTTGTCCCCCCTTTTCCTGTGCTCTCTCTTCTCCTCCTCCTTTCCCGTACTCCCTCTCAGCTCTCTCACTCACTCATCTCTCTCTTTCGAGGTATTTTCCGGCCAAACCACGACGACTTAGATGTCGTGTGAGGTACCATTCTCTTCGTCTATTCGAGAACTATAACTTTCATTTTTGAATCACTTGATTTCGTCGAGTATTGATAAAGTTATGGCCGTTTAGAGGTTGTGTAGTTTTTCGGCCGAATCTAGCCTTCTCCTCCCTTTGAATCTGGCAACCCACCAACACAAGGCCTTTAGGCCTTTCCTGCAGAGCCCAACCCACCTCTTTTCCTTTAATTTTTGTTTTGCTTTTAATTTAAAGGCCTTGGGCCTTACTTGTGAAGGCCCTAAACCCAAACCCAAGTTCCCATTTTAATTTCTTAGAAGCCTTTGGGCCATTTTCCTTTAGGGCCTTAAACCTTAGGCCATGCACTCAAAACCCTAACCCTAGCCGGCCCAAACCCTTTATGTAGAATATTTCATTAGGGAATATTCTATTAGAGAATATTCCGTCAGAGCATATTATATGGAATATTCTATAGACGTTTACGAAATTTACCCGTGACCCTTCTTAAGGTAATTCGACGTTCTAAATCCGTTTTCGACGTCCGTTTTCCCAAATTCAATTGTTATAATATAGTTTTATTAATTGGACCCTTTATGTGGTTAGGGGCAATTATATATGGCGTTCCTTTTTCGATAGGTTGTGTGGCTCTTCAGCAGCGAAGTACTGTGAGTGGACCCCTTCTAAAAATGCATGTTTTAATAATAGAAATGCATACATGAAAAACATGATTTATTGAATACGTTTGTGAACGTTTTATGAGAAATTGATTATCGTGCTCATTGAGGTTAGTTTGAATTATTACTATTTTTCCTATAACCCATGTTCTTATAGAATATCTGATGGATGACGATATGATATTTAGAACATGTTTAGAACACCTCTTTATAGTATAGATGATGAATGACTTTATACTATGAAGTTGTTTTTCAATATATATATGTTCAATGGTTTTTGAGCTCGACACTTTGTTAAGTGACGTGCAGCCATGTGCTTCAAGCCAACGTATGCCTGAGAGCTCTAGTAAAGATTCAAGGCTCCTACAATTGGTTAACCACAGACAAATCAGCCGAGAAGCTTCTTTGATGCTTACAGGTAGGCACTTAATCGCAGTTTCACTCAGATCAAGTTTCTCAAGAGATTTCAAATTACCAATGCTTACAGGTAGGCTGCTTTCAATTTCAGTTCCACTCAGATCAGATCTGACTGCCCTCCTGTTAAACATGAGATGTACTAAATGAGGAAATGATTCGTGTGCTTCTACGTTTACCTCCCTCACCTGTTTCATCCTTGATGCCAATATCCAATCAACTGGGGCGTACATTGGGAAGATCCCATATTTTGTCACCTTAATCATGGAATAATCAACAACTCCGCCATCAGGACAATCATCTATTATTGGGTAGAAGTCAAATATGGCCTCAGTGACGCCATTACAGCTCCCTTGCTTTAAATGGTCAAAGGTACTAAACCAGACGCACACGTGAGGCGTTTCAAACTTGCACTCATTGATTTCTCCATATTCGGCAACCATGCAACTCCGATGACAGATACAATGATCACCATAGCCTTTGAAATTGATTTTACAACCAAGCCTCAAACTCCCTCCAACATTATAATTCTTGAATGCAACAACAACCGAATAAGCGAAACCCAAAAAATTAGTGTTAAAGAAGTTTGGACCAAGTTTGATCCATAGTACAGATTCATCAACTTCATATGGCAACCATCTTGGAATTATATTTCCAGGACATACAATGCAGACTGGAGATCTAAAAACGTATTCCTGTTCATCAATAAATGTGTTAGAGAGCAGAGGAATCGAGGTATTCATTTTAACAACAGAGAGAGAGAGAAAGAGACAGGGAGACGTACCTTGCTTTCTTCTTCAAATTCAAGATGAGATGCTACTTCAGTGTCTTCTTGTTTAAAGTGCTTTGACAATGCAGTTGCCATTCTTATAATTCTAATCTGCGAATCAGTAAATATATCACGCCAAGCATCCCATCCCATTCCTATGCAATTTGAAAATGTAAGTTGCTCTTGAAGTCCTTGAGAATTTTTATATTCATCCCACCTAATGTAAGGGCAATCTTTGAACTCAACACTTTGTTGAGTGACGTGCAGCCATGTGCTTGAAGCCAACGTACCCCTGGGAGCTCTGGTAAAGATTCAAGGCTCCTGCAATTGGTTAACCGCAGACAAATCAGCCGAGAAGCTTCTTTGATGCTTGCGGGTAGGCACTTGTTCGCAGTTCCACTCAGATCAAGTTTTTCAAGAGATTTCAAATTACCAATGCTTGCAGGTAGGCTTTCAATTGCGCTTCTACTCAGATCAAGTTTCTCAAGAGATTCCAAATTACCAATGCTTGCAGGTAGGCTTTCAATTGCACTTCCACTTGGATCAAGTTTCTCAAGAGATTTCAAATTACCAATGCTTGCAGGTAGGCTTTCAATTGCGCTTCCACTCGGATCAAGTTTCTCAAGAGATTTCAAATTTCCAATTCTTGTAGGTAGGCTTTCAATTGCGCTTCCACTCAGATCAAGTTTCTCAAGAGATTCCAAATTACCAATGCTTGCAGGTAGGCTTTCAATTGCACTTCCACACAGATCAAGTTTCTCAAGAGATTCCAAATTACCAATGCTTGCAGGTAGGCTTTCAATTGCACTTCCACACAGATCAAGTTTCTTAAGAGATTTCAAATTACCAATTCCAAATTACCAATGCTTGCAGGTAGGCTTTCAATTGCACTTCCACACAGATCAAGTTTCTTAAGAGATTTCAAATTACCAATGCTTGCAGGTAGGCTTTTAATTGTGGTTCCACTCAGATCAAGTTTCTCAAGAGATTTCAAATCTCCAATGCTTGCAGGTACGCTTTCAATTGCAGTTCCATTCAGACCAAGTTTCTCAAGAGATTTCATATTACCAATGCTTGCAGGTAGGTTTTTTATTGTGGTTCCACTCAGATCAAGTCTATTCAGAGATTTTAATTTACAAATGGTCTTTGGGAGACTCACAAGATTTTTGCAAGTAGTCGCTGCCCCACTCAAGTCTAATACTGGTATATTCCTGGGACGCTCCAAGCACCGAATTTTTTCAAGAGACCAAACTGAAGAAGGCAATTCCTCTATTGCAGTGCTATCTAAATGTAAGTACTCAATACTGCTTGGCATCTCCGGAACATATTTGAGTGTGGTGCAGTCTGTCAGGTTAAGATAACTAAGCTTGTCGAGACATGGAAAATACGAAGGAATGTCAACCAGACAAACACCCATAAAGATCTATATGCTCAATGTTAGGACTTTGAGAGAGATCTGGGACTTTAATCAGACGATCACACAAACCAAGATCCATCACTTTTAAGTTCCTAAGATTCTGTAACAAATCAATGACAATTGGAAAGAATTAATAACAGACAGACCAAATAGACTTCTACACCGCATTTATTTAATAAAATAAGCATATACATACCTGGCCCTCGTTCCAAAGTTGTTCAACTTGGCTGTTGCGCATTTGAAGCTCAACAAGATATTCTGAACAAAGTTTTGATGGCAAAGATTTGAAAGGGTATCCCTCCAAGTCAAGATAAGTAAGAGAATGGGGAAGAGAAACTTTTACTTTGCAGTACTTGTTACGGCTAGAGTTGTAAACATACAGCAACCTTAGATCATACATCTTTTGAAAGTCTGCATGATTCAAGAGTATCCCTCCAATTGCAGACCTGTTAAAGAAAATGGCTTGTAGCGTTGCACTCCCTGAGAATAAGAACAAATTATGAATATGAACACAATCTACAAAAAAACTTAGATGAAACTGAATGCATTTGGAGATCTTACTCTTACCGTATTAGTTTTCAAATCCCGATTGACATCCTCATCCAAGAATAATTTATTGCATTTTATGAGCTCTTCAATACATTGTTCATGAACAATCGCCCTACCCATTTCTTGTAACAAGCTATGCACCTCCAAGCAGTTATTTGATGAAATTGATATGAGAGACTTATCAATCAAAACTCCGATTCCAGCTGCACGAAAGCCACATATCTAGCATTTCTTTTACAATGTACACATCTTTCCCTTGATAGAAACATGCTATATCAAGAAATATCTCCTTCTCAATTTCTTTTAATCCATCGTAACTTGATCTTCTCAGCACATTCCAGATCTTTTCTCTTGGAAATTCTTTCCATTCATCCAGCCAATCTTCTTTGCTCTCACAGTGAAGGAATGAGGAACCCAAAATTTTAAGAGCTAATGGAATGCCTCCAGCATATTCTACCACAAGTTTGGACAACTCGGTATAATCTTCGCTAGCAGTTTTATTTCGGAAAGCATTCAAATGAAAGAGTTGAAAAGCTTCATCAGAATTTAATTCATGAACCTTGCATATCTTATTATGTTCAACTCTTTTCTGAAGTAGGCTCTTATCTCTAGTCGTTATAATGATTCTACTTCCAGGGCCAAACAGAGCAGGATCGCCAGCTAGAAAAATTAATTGGTTTGAATCATTTACATCATCAAGAACAATGAGGATCTTCGTACCTGCCATCCTCTTTTTAACAAGATCTGATCCTATAGTTGGAGTGCCGATATTTATATCTTTTTCCTTCAATATCTTTCTAAGAAGTGTGTTTCGCAAGTGAATTAGTCCATCTTTTTTTCTTATTTCTCCCTAACATTTCCAAGAAAACAAGACGAGAGTCGGTGAAACACAGAATCAGCAAGGGCGGTCTTGCCAATGCCACCCATGCCCCAAATACCTAGAGTGTATACATCAAGTGAATCAATGCATAATGATGACTCAATTTGGTCAATGCGTTTTTCTATTCCAACAAAGCCCTGTAAAACACTTGAAGATTTTCGATTCAATTGGCTCCAAATTTCATTTGCAACTTTCTTAACTAAATTGGCCTCCGTCCTGGCAAATATATGATGGACAACTAACAGTTGGTAATAGGCATTGTTAATTAATTCTGTATGCATTTAATTTTCATGAGTAGAAATCACTAAAAGTTTTAGAATTAGTTACCCTGTTTTGTTTGAGAAGCTAGAAAGATTAGCTGCAGCCGTCAAAGCAGCCCTCCACGCGTTCACCTTGTCGATAGTGCCCTTGAAACGTTTTTCAAGTTGAGCAAACGCAACTTCATAACTCCCCTTTTGTATTTGTACCGTTGATGGACTAGTGCCGTAGAAAATGGGTATAACCAACTGGCCATATTTTTCCCTGCAGTGTAGTATATGTGCAAGTTCATCCAAACACAAGTCAACGCCAAGACATATTGCGTTTACATCAGCAAAAGGATCAGAAGATTGAAGTCATGTAAGCCGATCCCAGACAATCTTGTCGACCTCTTCACGACATCACTGCCGAAGTCAACCTTCCAGAAGCTTGTTCGAGGAATTTGTATGCCTAATTATTCATATGCAATGCTTGTAGTTCTCATTTAGAAGTTCTGTCAAACTCAGGGGGAGTATCCAAAAGTATACTCACTTGATATTAATGTACTCTTTTTCCTTATGATTATGAGCATTTTTTCCACTGGATTTTTGCTACCTAACTAGGTTTTGACGAGGCACCTATCCTAGGCTGATCATACCTTTGTGAGCTCTTCTACTTGCGTTTAGAAGACGTATAATTTTGACTTAATGCAACTTCTCACTTTTTTCCTTAGTCTATGGGGTTTTCTCCCACCTTGGGTTTTACCATAGCGAGATTTTGTGAGTTTTACCTTTTATGCATTCTTCCGTTGTTGAGACTCGCATTCATTCATTCTGTCGATGACTTCATCAACTATATTTACTTCATTGTTGAAGACCTGATGCGCCATTTATTTAAGTATTTACACACTCAATGGGAGTGTTGCAGTCCTATTAGATTAGGAATGTGATTGTGTAAATCATAGTATATCTTGGAATATCCTCTTTAGTAGATATTATCCTATTAGAGTTGTAATCTTATTGAGGTAAGAAATTTACCTTCCCTACTACTATAAATAAAGGCACAATGGGGATAGATAACACACACCTCACAATTACACATCTCTCTCTTTCTCTCTCTCTTGCCACCGGCCCTCTCCCTCTCTAGTCCTAAATTATAGTTCAGTCGATTAGGCTTACAACAATAGAATCATTTTTATATATTTTTTAGAAAAATCATTTTTTCGATTCGATTTTTTCCCTTGATTTTCTCGCCATCCAAACAAATGTTACTAAACTTAGGGATCCTTTGGTTTTTCAATCGGGAAGTGTTTTTAATTTATTTCCATTAATAATTTTGTGTTTCTATTTTGGAATCTAAGTAATATCAATTAGCAGAGTGCTAATGCTTCCTTGTATAACTTTGATTTTTCAATTTTTATAATTTTCATTAAAGCAATAAGGATGCTTCAAGTCTCAATCTAAGTAATTTTTGCTGTAACAAGGCTTAATCTCCTGGTGCCACTGAAGCTGATACTTAGGGCTGGTTTGGTATTGCTGTGCTTTGAAAAAAAGCTGCTGTGAGAATAAGCGGCTGTGCTGTGAGAATAAGCGGCTGTGAAATAAATCAGCAGAGTGTTTGGTAAACTTTTTTGTAAAAGTGCTTTTGGGGAAAAAAGCAGTCTAATAGTGGATCTTTTCATTAAAGAAGCACTGTAGCTCCGTGTGCTTTGAAAAAAAACCAGTTTTCCAAAGCTACAAATAGCAGCTTCAGCTTTTTCCTTTGATTTCAGCTTATTCTCACAGCAGCTTCCAAAATAAGCCATTTTTTTTCAGTTTACCAAACACCTAAAACCCTCATAGCTTTTTTTCATGGGTGCTTTTTTTTTAAGCACCTAACTCCCAAACTAGGTCTTAATCGGTGGAAGGACCGCCCAGTTGAGGAAGCATCGTAAGCTATTTCTTTGCCCCAAATTCAGGCTCAAACAACTTGATCTTAATTATTATTTTTATTTCGTTCTTGGGATCTTACTGCAAACACTGGATAAATTTTATATGTTTAACTTTGTTACTATGTATTATTCGATAAAAACAACGAAAATTGAGAAATACCAAATGATTTAATAAAATTTTTGTTTTGATACATGATATGTTTACGCTAAGAGATAAATGAATAAATTATTATCAAACTTGTTATTTATGCGATTTGAATCTAAGACGGTTTACATAACTATTAGACAAGAATATTAAATGACTCAATGATATGTTAAATAATGAATTGAAGTTGGCTAGTGTTGTTGCCGCAGAAATTGCAGGAGGGGCCTGGGATTCCTTTCTAGTGAGTAAACTCTCGTTTTCTCTACAACTTTACTATTTATTACGTTCAATGTCCAATATTAAATTATCTGTTTTTTTAGTTATAGTTATACACGGATATAATTTCTTCACCAACATTAATTAATCGGAGAATGCATGAGACAAGCTAGATATTCAAGAAAACAGATGAGATGAGCCTCGCAGAAGAAACAACAAAAATTTGCTGACTTTATCAACGCAGACAATCGCTATCAAAGGGTATTTTTCGTAACTGGATTGTTTCGATGTGATTTTAAAATGATTGAAAGCGCTTTCAGATAAAATATTTTTAGATTCCAAAAACAATTTAGATGTTTTCTACAAGAAGCACCAATTATGTGTTTCTTTTAAGAAACAGCTTAAGTGCTTTTCCAATATTTACTAGTATTTTTACTAATGATTGTTTCAAAAATATTTTTACCAAAAACTCTTTTAATCATTTTAAAAGCACATCCAAATAAGCTTTTACATTCGAGAAAAAAAGCCAATGATGTTATCTTCCATATAAATTAACTTTTGTCCTTCATTGTAATGTTTAAAAAGTGTTATTTTCATATAAAATTAAATATTCAAAATATACTCTATTTTAATTTTTCCTTAAAAATATATGTTTATTTGAATAATTTAATTACACGCGGCTACACACGAGTGGTCCACTGTCTGGACCCAACCCTTGAAGCGCGCGTACTGCCACGTCTCATAATTGTTATTTTATTACATTTTCTTTATTTTATCTTAAATTTTTTAAAGGAATTGATTATATGCGAAAAACTAATTTGAAAAATGCTAACAACTCTTATCCTCCCCCAAAAAAAAAAAGGAAAACTAATGAAAAGGGCTTGAAAACTTTGAGTTTTAATGATAAGGACAAAATAAAGGGTAAAGTGAATAGTACCAGAATTGACTTTTTAGTGTAAAAATGTGGTTTTTCGTTAAAGTGAACAGTACCAGGTGCTTTTCGTTAAACTTCCCAAAAAAAAATGCTAAGAACTCCTTGGGACCTTGTCCAACGACTCTATCTTTTTTTTTTAATTTTATTTTATAAAAAAAACTAGTTACTTAAACAAGAATTAGGTTGTCATTTAATACTACGGCGTAGTGGTGTTCTTCTTTACTTGTAAGTGAAAGATTTTAAGTTCGATTTTCGCAAAGACAAACTTGAATCACATTATTGTTGAGCTATTGTGAGGTTTAGCCCTCCACCCCCTTAGTGTAGATGATATTGGTGAAGCCAAGAAAATATTGGGAATAGAGATCACAATGGATAGACAAAAAAGTTTGGTGTGTTTGTCTCAAAAGCAGTATCTTGAGAAGTTGTTACAAAAGTTTGGAATAACAAAAGATACTAAGCATGTGGGAACTACATTAGGTGCTCACTTCAAGTTGAGTAGCCAACAATGTCCCAAAGAAAAGATGAAATGAAGGGTGTTCCATATGCTAATTTGGTTGGAGGATTAATGTATGCGATGATGTGTACTCGTCTTGATATAGCACATGCAGCTGGAATTGTTAGTAGGTTCATGCATAATCCTGGAATAGAACATTGGAATGATGCTAAGTGGATACTAAGGTATTTACATGGAACGAGGGACAAAGGTATTTGTTTTGAAAGATGTGATAAAAGAATTTATAAGTTCTCAATTGGATATGTGGACTCAGACTTTGCTGGTGATTTAGACCAGAAAAGATCGACAAATGGGTACGTGTTTACTATGGCAAAGGGTCTTATATGCTGGAGATAAATATTACAACCAAAGGTGGCACTATCAACCACAGAAGCGTAATACATGGTGATCGTTGAAGCTATCAAAGAAGCAATGTGGACTCTGGGGTTGTTAGGAGCCTTAGGTGTGGAACAACACAATTTGGATGTATATTGTGATAGCCAAAGTGCCATTTATTTGGCCAGATATCAAGTACATCATGCTAGGACTAAGCACATTGATGTACAATATCATTTTGTGAAAGAAGTGGTAGCTAAAAGTGAGATTCGTCTCAAAAAGGTTGCTTCAGAAGACAATCCAGCTGACATGTTGACAAATGTGGTTAATTCGTCTCAAAAAGGTTGCTTCAGAAGACAATCCATCTGACATGTTGACAAATGTGGTTAATGTAGCCAAGTTCGATCATTGTTTGGATTTGGTGCAATTGAAGTATGTTTGATCTTGTGATATGGTGGTGAAGCAATGAAAGTTGTTAGATGCCTCATTATGGATTTCATTCCAAGGTGGAGATTGTTGGATTTGGCATTAAATTAACATGCCTAAACTAAAACAAGAATCAAAGAAGGATTGAGATATCTTGGATGCAAGATATTTGAATTTATGTTTCCTAGTTTGTTTGGGATTCGGTTTTAGTATAGGATTTGGTTTTCTATATTCTGGGGACTTTGTGTAAACCCATGACATCTATTAGTATAAATAGATGGATGTGGGATAGAGTTTGAGTAGAGAGTTTTGAGAGGCATAAGTTTGTATAATTGATAATACTTTGTGTTTGTGAGTACCCTTGTATTTGTTGGTAATTAATAAAGTTTCCGTTGTTAGAAAGGTACTCCTATATTGGAGGAACTCTGAAATCGTTTGGTGTGTTTGATTATTGCTTGATTGTTTAGGTTTAGTTTACAACAGCTTCTGCTCGACAAACATAATTCAAGAGGTAAAGCAACGATCGTTGGGTAAAATTTTCACGCCAAGAGAAGACCTTGGCATGTAAAATGGGAACCTTTACGCGACAAACACTAACCATAAAATACTATTTGTCTGACAAAATTTGGCCCGACGAACAAGTCTTCGTCGGGTCAAGTGAGTTTGCTCGACGAAACTTTACATTTGTTGGGAAAGCTGGTCAACATATATGATTTTCCACCTTCACATAGGAAGTGGGTTGGCCGGAAATACTCATTGGCCAGAAATGAACTTATATAGGCCTCAGTAGCAAGTTTGTAAAAATCAGTTGGAGTATTTAGCATCTTCGTCAAGTTCAAAGCATTATAGGTCACAAACACGTGATGTGGATTTAAATTAGAGTCATACCATCCTAAATAGAAAGGACAACTGATCATCTCATGAGTTCCATCATTCTAAGTTACGAATTAGCAAGAATTGCCCGATGTTGCGAGTTTTAAAACCATATAAAACATGTTGAAAGTTCTCAATGTATATATGATAGACAATACTATTTACATACATGTGGAATTAAAACCCTATTTACAATAAGAAGAAGAAAAAAAAAGGGTGTTCAAGAGTTGAGTTCATAAAGTTTTGCAAGTTTAGAGCAGTACTGAATTGCTCATTGTCCAAAATATAAAAATCAGCAGTAGAACTTCCTTATTATTTCGTTTTTTATAATTTGTCTATCGTCTATATTATTTCTTTATTCCTATACTATTATTTCATGCAGCTTTTCAAGCTGAAATAATGGGTTCATAGAGATGTCCAAACTCCAAGTTCATGTTGTTTGCCTCTTTATGCTTTAATGGATTAGGTTGACAATATCTTAGGAGACTAAAAAGGTCGTACCCAGTGCACAAGGCTCCCGCTTTATGCAGGGTCTGGGAGAGGTGAATGTCGGCTAGCCTTACCCCCATTTATGAAGAGGCTGCTCCCAAGTCTCGAACCCGAGACCTACCGCTCATGGGCGAAGGCACTTGCCATCGCACCAAACCATGTAGAAATACATACCTATCTTAACATTATATTGGAGATATACGAGCAGTAACAATCATGTACTAGAATGACAGAATTAGGAATTATTTCTAGGGTTCCATTCCCAGACCTGATACGAAAAAATTCCACAACGAGAGTGAGAAGAGACACGAATCTACAAGAGCGTCAGCTACCGCATTTTGGAATCTATAAACACGACTGATATGCCACTTCATTCTTTTTTTCCGTATTCATTCTCTGAGGACGTAGCTCTTCTTGTTCCTTCCAAGGGCTAAAAATTTCACTCCGACCTGCTTCAACTCATCACCGCGCCTCTTCGTCGTCGTATCTTCTTCTACTTTTAGTTTCTGCAAATACGTCCAAGCAATGACGAAATGCGGGTTAGAGGTTTGCATATAAACCTCACATTGAGTGTAAATGAACATAAGCAAGCATAATTAAAAGGAAAAATATCTCTTTGGTCGCCAGAGAAAGACTCTCTAGCAACAACATTCAGCTAAAAACAGAGCAGCAAACTAGACTTGCCTGCCCCAAAATGCCTACATTTGCTCACTTCGGCTTTCATTAAATCAAACAAAGGCCCTCTAAATTACTTGATGCATGACGTGCGATTCAACAACGTTCTCAATGAAATCAACCTCAGTCCTGAAAATTGCAATAATAAACAGAATACTATATCTCAGAAGCACAAATAAAGAAACAGCATGAAAATTACAAAATAATTCACAGAATTAGATCACCTCTGACCTGTTTAGCTCCCTCACCTGTTTCATTTTTATTTCAATGCAGAATCATTTGGAGCATACATTGGGAAGATCCCACACTTTGTCACCTTAATATTGGAACAATCAACGGCTCCGTCATCAGGACGATCCTCTATTATTGGGTAGAAGTCAAATATGGCCTCGGTAACGCCATTGTAGCTTCCTTGCTTTACATGGTCAAAGCTACTAAACCAGACAAACACGTGAGGCGTATCAAACTTGCAGTCATTGATTTCCCCATATTCGGCAACCATGCAACTCCGATGATAGATAAAAGGATCACCACAGCCTTTGAAATTGATTTTACACCCAAGACTCAAACTCCCTCCAACATTATAATTCTCGAATGCAACAACAACAGAATAAGCAAAACCCAAAAAACTAGTGTTAAAGAAGTTTGAACCAAGGTTGATTGCTAGTGCAGAATTATCAGCTTCGTTTGGAAACCAACTTGGAATTGTACTTCCCGGACATACAATGCAAACTGGAGATCTAAAAACATATTCCTGTTCATCAATAAATGTGTTAGAGAGCAGAGAACCCAAGTTATTCAATTTAACAACACAGAAAGAGAGAGACAGAGACAGAGAGACGTACATTACTTTCTTCTTCAAATTCAAGATGAAATGCCACTTCAATTTCTTCTTGTGTAAAATACTTTGATAACGCAGTTGCCATTCGCATAATTCTTATCTGCGAATCAGTCAATATATCATGCCAAGCATCCCCTCCCATTCCTATGCAATTTGAAAATGTAAGTTGCTCTTGAAGCCCTTGAGAATGTTTATATTCATCCCAACCTAGTGAAAGTGCAGTCTTTGAGCTCAGCACTTTGTTGAGTGATGTGCATCCATGTGCTTCAAGCCAACGTACCCCTGGGAGCTCTGGTAAAGATTCAAGGCTCCTGCAATTGGTTAACCACAGCGAAATCAGCCGAGAAGCTTCCTTGATGCTTGCAGGTAGGCACTTGATTGCAGTTCCACTCAGATCAAGTTTCTCAAGGGATTTCAAATTACCAATGCGTGCAGGTAGGGTTTTAATTGCGGTTCCACTCAGATCAAGTTTCTCAAGAGATTTCAAATTACCAATTCTTGCAGGTAGGCTTTCAATTGCAGTTCCACTCAGATCAAGTTTCTTAAGAGATTCCAAATTACCAATGCTTGCAGGTAGGCTTTCAATTGCGGTTCCACTCAGATCAAGTTTCTCAAGACATTCCAAATTACCAATGCTTGCAGGTAGGCTTTTAATTGCTGTTCCACTTAGGTCAAGTTTCTCAAGAGATTCCAAATTACCAATGCTTGCAGGTAGGCTTTCAACAGCGGTTCCACTCAGATCAAGTTTCTCAAGAGATTTCAAATTACCAATGCTTGCAGGTAGGCTTTCAATTGCGGTTCCACTCAGATCAAGTTTCTCAAGAGATTTCAGATTACCAATGCTTGCAGGTAAGCTTTTAAACGCGGTTCCACTCAGATCAAGTTTCACAAGAGAATTCAAATTGTCAAAGCTTGCAGGTAGGCTTTCAATTGCGGTTCCACTCAAATCAAGGTTCTCAAGAGATTTCAAACTACCAATACTTGAAGGTAGGCTTTCAATTGCAGTTCCACTCAGATCAAGTTTCTCAAGAGATCTCAAACTACCAATGCTTGCAGGTAGGCTTTTAATTGCGGTTCCACTCAGATCAAGTTTATCCAGACATTTCAAATTACCAATGCTTGCAGGTAGGCTTTCCATTGCGGTTCCACTCAGATAAAATTTCTGAAGATATTGCAATTTACCAATGCTTGCATGTAGGCTTTTAATTGCGGTTCCACTCAAATCAAGGTTCTCAAGAGATTCCAAATTACCAATGCTTGCAGGTAGACTTTCAATTGCGGTTTCACTCAGATCAAGTTTCTTAAGAGATTTCAAATTACCAATGCTTGCAGGTAGCCCTTCAATTGCAGTTCCACTCAGATAAAGTTTCACAAGAGATTTCAAATTACCAATGCTTGCAGGTAGGCTTTTAATTGTGGTTCCACTCAGATCAAGTTTCTCAAGTGATTCCAAATTACCAATACTCGCAGGTAGGCTTTTAACTGCAGTTCCACTAAGATCAAGTTTCTCAAGAGATTCCAAATTACCAATGCTTGCAGGTAGGCTTCTAATTGCAGTTCCACTCAAATCAAGTTTCTCAAGAGATTCTAAGTTACCAATGCTTGCAGGTAGGCTTCTAATTGTGGTTCCACTCAGATCAAGGCTCTTAAGAGACTTTAATTTGCAAATGCTCTCTAGGAGACTCACAAGAATTTTGCAATTAGTCGCATTCCCACTCAAGTCCAATATTGGTATGTTATTGGGAAGCTCCAAGCACCGAATTTTTTCAAAAGACCAAACTGATGAAGGCAATTCCTCTATTGCAGTGCTATCCAAATATAAGTATTCAATACTGCTTGGCATCTCCGAAAGATATTTGAGTTTTGTGCAGTCTGTCAGGTTAAGGTAACTAAGCTTGTCGAGACATGGAAAATAAGAAGGAATTTCAACCAGACTTTTACACCCGTAAAGATCTATATGCTCAATGTTTGGACTTTGAGAGAGATCTGGAACTTTAATCAGATGCTCGGACAAACGAAGATCCATCACTTTTAAGTTCTTAAGATTCTGTAACAAATCAATGACAATTGGAAAGAATTAATAACATAGACTGATCAAATAGCTCTCTACACCGCATTTATTTAATAAAATAAGCATATACATACCTGGCCCTCATTCCAAAGTTGCTCAACTTGACTGTTGCGCATTTGAAGCTCAACAAGATTTTCCGGACAAAGTTTTGATGGCAAAGATTTGAAAGGGTAACCCTCCCAGCCAAGATAAGTAAGAGAATGGGGAAGAGAAACTTTTACTTTGCAGTACTTGTTACAGCTAGAATTATAAACGTATAGCAATCTTAGATCATACATCTTTTCGAAGTCTGCATGATTCAAGAGTATCCCTGTAATCTTAGACCTGTTAAAGAATATGGCTTGTACCGTTGCACTTCCCTGAGAATCAAGAGCAAGGTATCAATAATGTGAATACAACACAATATACAAAAAAATTTACATGAAATTGAATGCATTTGGAGATCTTACCGTGTTAGTTTTCAAATCCCGATTGACATCCTCATCAAAGAATAATCTATTGCATTTTATAGGCTCTTCAATACATTGTTCGTGAACAATTGCCCTACCCATTTCTTGTAGCAAGTTATGCATCTCCAAGCAGTTATTTGTTGAAATTGATATGAGAGACTTATCACTCAGAACTTCGATTCCTGCTGCACGAAAACCACATATATCTAGCATTTCTTTTACAATGTCCACATCTTTCCCTTGATAGAAACATGCTATATCAAGAAATATCTCCTTCTCAATTTCTTTTAATCCATCATAACTTGATCTGAACACTTTCCAGATCTTTTCTCTTGGAAATTCTTTCCATTCATCCAGCCAATCTTCTTTGCTCTCACAGTGAAGGAATGAGGAACCCAAAATTTGAAGAGCTAACGGAATGCCCCCACAATAATCAACCACAACTTTTGACAACTCTGTACAATCGACTCTAGAAATGTTATTTCCGAAAGCACACAAACGAAAGAGTTGAAGAGCTTCATCAGAATTTAATTCCTGAACCTTGCATATCTTATTATGATCAACAAGTTTCTGAAGTAGGCTCTTATCTCTAGTTGTTATAATGATTCTACTTCCAGGGCCAAATAGAGTAGGATCTCCGGCTAGAAAATTTAATTGGTTTGAATCATTTATATCATCAAGAACAATGAGGACCTTCGTACCTCCCATTCTCTTCCTAACACGATATGATCCTATAGTCAGAGTGCCAATATTTACATCTTTTTCCTTTAATATCTCACTAACAAGTGTGTTTCGCAAGCGATCCAGTCCACCTGTTTGTTCAGATATCTCCCTGACATTTTTAAGAAAACAAGAAGCTTCAAATTTAGAAGAGAATCGGTGAAACACAGCATCAGCAAGGGTGGTCTTGCCAATCCCACCCATGCCCCAAATACCTACAGCGTATACATCAAGGGAATCAATGCATAATGTTGACTCAACTTGGTCAATGCGTCTTTCCATTCCAACCAGGCCCTTTAAATTGCTTGACGATTTTTGATTCAATTTGCCCCAAATTTCGTCGACAACGTTCTTAACTAAATCGGCCTCCGTCCTGGCAATTATATGACGTACAAGTAATAGTTAGTAATAGGTATTCCTTAACTACTCCTGTATGCATTAAATGTTCAAAAGTAGGAATCACAAGAAGTTATAGAATTAGTTACCCAGTTTTGTTTGAATAATCGAAGCCAGATAGATTAGCTACTGTCACCAAAGCAGCCCTCCACTTGTGCACCTTGTCGATACTGTCCTTGAAACGGATTTCAAGTTGAGCAAATGCATCTGCATAAGTCCCCTGTTGTTTTCGTACATCTGATGGACTGATGTCGTAAAAAATAGGTATGACCATCTGATCAACTGTCTCCCTGCAGTTTAGTATGTGCGCAAGTTCATCCAAGCACCAGGTGGAAGATGCATAGTTTTGTGAGAAAATGACCAAGGAAAGCGTAGATTTCTCGATCGCTTCTAGAAGGGCAGGTGCAATTTCACTCCCTCTCACAAGTCTGTAATCTATGTAGGTTTCAATTTTCTTCTGGAGTAAGGCACCGTGAAGATGGCTAGTAAAAGTATTGCGGGTGTCCTCACCTCTGAAACTAATAAACACATCATACTTTTCTCGAGAAGGGTGGACATCAGCACCACCACCAGGTCCACCGCCGCCACCAGCAGAAGCAGAAGCAGCTATATCCATAACCTGTACAAACCCACAAGTCAAAACATGTATATGCATATGGGTTACGTGGCTTGCTCATAAATAAACGATCTTAGAGATGCAAGAGATCGGGATTATGCGTAGTTAACTAATGAGTTGGAGTCTGGACGCAGTACCGCCTATGGTGTTTCTGATACAGAATTCTCCAAGGGAAACTCGGTGGGATTACCGGCAGAGAAAGATCAACTAACAAGTTTCAGAGACATAAAAATATGTAAGAAAACTTGCAGACGTTGAAACATTGAATGAAGTCAAACTCCCGTGCTCTATGGCGTTAAATCAGAATACAGGTGTCGAAACGAGGATGCGGGCTGAGGGTGGGCGTTGGGAAAATGGGCACAGCAGGGCAGACCCTTGTCCATGTGGGGTTCCAAGAAAAAAATATGGGTGGAACAAGTCATGAATGATAGGCGCAAGTGGCCCCACCACAGTAGTTAAGAGAAGGAAACGGATCCGGATCCATTATGTGTGGGTCTTAGGAATTTTCACATTTTAGCCGTTCATCGTATATCGTGTGGTAAAAAATTATTTAACTTTTATTATTTAAAATTAAACACAAATAGTACTTGACGAAAATTGACCACTCTTCCCCATTACTCTCTCATCCAGAGGAGTACAGATCAATTGTGGGAGGGTTACAATATCTTACTTGGTCTCGACCTGATCTCTCCTTTGCTGTCAACTTGGTCTGTCAGTTTATGCATCAACCCCGACAGTCTCACTTGCAGGCAGTTAAAAGAATATTGAGATACTTGAAGGGCACTCTTGATTTGGGACTATGGTTTCCAAAAACATCATCTTCATTCATTATAAATGCCTTTTCAGATGCTGATTGGGCAGGGTGTGCCTTGGACCGACAATCAACTGGAGGTTTTTGCATATTTCTTGGAAACTCTCTTATTAGTTGGAATGCTAAAAAGCAACCAACAGTGGCTCGATCATCCACTGAAGCTGAGTATTAATCTCTTGCTAACACAGCTGCTGAGTTTTCATGGCTGTGTAAATTGCTTCTTGATGTTGGTCTATCTCTTCCATATCCTCCAAAATTGTGGTGTGATAACATTTCTGCGATTTCCTTATCCAAAAATAATTTATTTCATGCAAGGACTAAACATGTGGAGATTGACTATCATTTTATCAGGGAAAAGGTTCTCTCTAAAGCTGTAACTGTTCAGTTTGTATGTTCACAGGATCAAATTGCAAATATCTGTACTAAATCTCTGTCCAAGTCTCGTTTTCTGTTGCTTAGAGATAAACTATCACTTCGGTTGCCCAAGTTCGGTTTGAGGGGGCATATTAAGGATAGTTGTTTATCTTGATTTGTTGTAATTAGTCATTGGATAGTTAGTGATTTCTGTTGTAATTAGTCATTGGACAGTTAGTTTGTTATTGGATAGTTATAGGTTAGTTTTGATGAGCTGTCAAATATAGCTCTCTGTATAAATACCAATGTACTCTAATTATTCAATTCAATGAGAATACTTTTCTAATAGTTGGTGTGTGTATGTAGAAGTCAGAACCTCTCCAGGGAGTACAAAATTAAAAACTAGGAGAGACAAGGAGTAATCACTTTCACATACTTAAAAAAATCAATTTCATAATTGATAATGCTACTTTAATCTTTTCTTTTAAATATATACTTAATTAAAAGAAAATTTTGTCCATAGCAAATTTGTCCAAAGCATCTTTTTATAAAATACTAGCTATTATGCACGCGCTCATGCGCATGCAGAAGGTATTTTTTGAATCACAGCATGTTACGCGTGACTTACATGTTTTAAATGTATTTATATGCGTAAATAGGCAAAAGAAAAGTTAAATATTTGAAATAAATGAAAAATCTTAGATCATGCTAGAAGAAACCCCTCATAAATCAATTAAAGCAGCTGAATCCACATAATAAAATCGGTCTATATTGAATTTATATTAAGAATAGAGAAAATAATATTTAATAAACAATTGATTGAATCACATTATTGCTAGCGCATTGTGAGGCTAAGCCCACCCCACCCCCCCCCCCCCCCCGGCGCTTAATGTAGATAATATTGTTTGTTAAAAAAAACAAATAAACAACTAATTGAATCACATTATTACTTTTTTATAACCAGCATTACAACCTCTTAAGATGTTTTGAACATGTTTAAAAATACAGAAAATAATATTTAATGAACAATTACTTGAATCATATTATTGCTAGCCTATTGTGAGGTACTAATTATTTGAAAGAAAAAAAAATTACTGTTAAAATGATGAAAATACCCCTACCACATTTGATGCATTATTTTGTATTGTTTTTGAACATTTTTGTTTTGGGGGCATTTTTGTCTACTTATTTTTTGTGAAGCTTGTGACCCCAAAAACAATATTCACTTTAAGCTTGGCTTTATATATAGAGATACGCACATACGAACGACGACTATCCAAGAAAAATCATCAGAGACAAAAATAGACATAAAATATAAAGACGAAATTGCTCAAGCACTTTCGTCACAGAAGAAACTGTCTTTGTTCAAACAGAAGAAAAGGTTATAATAATAGGAGTTTTAACGAAACACTCTCAGTACTGTTCACTTTTAACGAAAACCCACAATTTTACCTTTATTTAGTACTATTCACTACACCTTTATTTGTCATTTTTCATTAAAACTAAAAAAAAAAATTTACTTTTCATTAGTTTTTCTTATATTTACTTTTCATTAGTTTTTCTTATAATATATATACATCCCTAGTGGAGGACTCGAAAGAAAGAGAGGTGAAATAAATAAAGAATGAATCTAGCTCCTCTGATGCGAGGTAGCTTCCTAGTGTGAGTGTTAGTGTATGACAGTCAGCCGAGTCCCACTCTAAGAGCAAGTCCACCGGGGGTGGGATAGGTCGGCACCCAGTGGAAAAAACAGGTTGAGACTCAGCCAATCCACTCCAGCCCGTGGAATCGACTGGCACCCAACCCAAGCCAGTCCACAGGCCGACCTAAAATCGACAGACCTTGGGACCGGCTTAAGTAACGCCTAGTTGAGGCCAGCGTGGTGTCGGAGGGCAAGGAGCCACGAAGCAGTCAACATTGCCAACATGAACAACACCGCCAAATTAGCTGCGACGACGAACATCAGCAACAGCCACATCAACACCGTGGAGTCCTCCTCCCCACCCGTTTCCTGCTTCCCGTCTCGTGATCTTCTTCGACGCCTTCGCACGGGCCGACAGCGCCGCAGCCTTCCAGCATGCCCGCGAAACTTACAGGTTCGACCCCCCCGTCCCCACATCAGGCTCGGGCCACAACGACTCGTCCTCGTCCTCGGTTGTCGACTTCAAGCGCACCTCCTGCAACGGGCGGCTCGATCTGGACCTCAACCTTCCTCCCCCCTCAGAAGTCACCTAAACTATTGCCGCCCGCCGTGAAAGATCCCCCATTTTTTCTTTCCGGTCCAAGTTTGTTCCTTTTTTATGTAAGCCCAGCTTTATAATAAATATTTTAATAAAATTGACTAGGCTATTTTTTGTTAGGGGTGGAGATGCATTGGCCTATTACTGTTCATTGGAGTTTATTACTGTTTACTAGAGTGGATAAATGGGCTGGGTGCTGGCACAAAGTCCTTAGGGGTGGATAAAACATTGTTTTTTGAAAACGTTGAATTCTCTCAAATTCGTAGGGGAGCACTTTTGCTCACCATCATAATTATGATGTATACATCTAATCGTTGACATGTGTTCTTTCACATAATTCTAGTTAATTTTCATACTAAATGTTACTTTTTCAATTTTAAAAAAATTAACCAAGATTAAATGAAATGACACGTGTCAATTGATTAGGTGTATGGTAAACATACACTATAGTTTATGGTGGTGAGCAAAGATACTTACATTCTTAGGAGCACATCTATATTCAACTATTAAATTTAATAATGTGCATCATACATTGATGTATCTTTAAAGTAAGCCAATATTCAACATAGTGAATATGCAATAATTAAATTCAAGGGAAATAGTAAAAAAGGGCCCACTTTCTTAATTTTTGGACTAAAATAGGATTTTTTCGAGATATGCACGCAACATGCACAACAATACGATAGAAATAGAATTTTTCTAAAACTGGAAATGACCTAATTGCCTGTATATAAACAACAAAAGCACCATTTTACTCCCAACAAAAAGCTCTCCCTCTTCCAACAAACCCTAGCCGTCACCCACTTCGTTGCCGGCCTTTGGCTATGGCTGGGGGCTGGTGGCAGCCTCTCCCCTCCCTTTCCTAGATCTTCCTCCCTTCCTTCCCCCTATTCCCCTTCTCAACCATCCTCATCCCCTCGCCATTCTCGTTTCTTCCCACCACCTCACTCCGACCCCTCATTTTTGACCTTTCACTTCCTCATCTCCCCTCCCTTGCTTCTCTCCCACCATTTTGGGTGCAGATATACATGGATTTATGCCCTATACCCCGACCCGGGCCTTGCTTGTTCAAGATTTCTTCGATTGGCGCTCGTTTCCTTGTATGGGGTTTATATCTGTGTTGCAGGTAGGCTGGATCCCCCATCTTTAACTCGGTTTCCATGGTGATGTCTCCCTCCTTGATGGCTTCGGTGCTCTCCGCTCTGGAGGTTCGGCTTGGTTTGGGAGCTTGGGGCGTTTGTCTCGTTGGGGCTCGGCTCGGCTTGAGCATCTTGGTACGACTCGGCTCGTTGCGACTTGTTTTGTTGCAACTCGGCTTGGCTCAGCTTGAGCGTGGACGTGGGCATCCCATTATCTGGATTTTGTAGGTGATCTAGGCATGAGCGCTTCGGTCCCCCTGCTTTTGAGTTGTTCATCAGATCTTTCTCGGTGTAGTTTAGTTCCTGTCGCCCTTGTGCACCGCGGTGATGCTGGTGTTTTGGCTAATTTGGTATTCACCTTTGTGCGTTGTTATTGTGAGTCTCATCTGCTAACGATGACTTTGTTGTGGTCTCGCACTTTTGCGATGATTTTTTTGTGGCCTCGCTATTTGGCGATGACCGTTGTGTCTATCAGTATCTCTTTGTTGTTGTTATCGTTTATTGTGACACATCTATACTGGTAGTTTTGTGCGCTTGGCGACTATGTGATTGAGCTTGTGGGTGTCTACTAGGGGTTTAATGTTATTTGTCTACTTTGTGCAAATTCATTCCAGATCAATTTATTGATCATTTGAATTATGTACCCAATGACATTCTGTATTTACTTGGTGTTGATTAATGAAAGGATATG